GAAAACACGCTTCCATGTGGAGTTGATATAAGGCCAGTTAGTACAGATCACAGTTTTTTTTCTGCCATTGTGTGTAAACAGAAAGTCGCACTCCTTCAAAGAGTGTTTTGAAATGCTCTTCAGTTCTCAGGTTCCTGTTACTGTGTGCTGCTTTGAAAATCGCCTCTGCTGGAGCTGGGAAGTTCTTGGCCAAGACCGTGTGGTTTCTGGAATGACTTAAAGTTTCAGATTTGTTGCTTTTGCCTTTGCTGCTGTAACAAAACTCATGCGGCTGGGTTTTGGAAGGTGCTTTTTGTCTCTTTCTCCTTCTTACACAGCTCTTGCTATCTGCACCTCTCCTTCAGTCCTGCTGACTGCCTTCTGTGAGTTGTTTGGCAGAAACGAACTAAAACCTGACATGTTGTATTTTATCTCCCCTGGTTGTCAGTGGCTGATAAGATTATCTGGCAGGTATTTGCATGTTTCCAGGATACTGTTCAATTCATGGCTTGCCTGTCCTTATCTGTTTAAGTCCGATAGCTTCCCTTCTGACTCCTCTACAGGACAGTTGAACTGTCTTTTTTTTTTTTTGCACTCATTGGGGTAGAAATATTTCATTTTTTATTCACCTGGTAGCTCTGTTTATTTGAAAATTATATAGAACATTTTCCTATGCTTAGGAAATTAGACAAGGAGGAAAATCTATTTTTCCCATACCTAGACTTCTTTCAGAGACGTGGAGCGAAAGCTCACTCGCCGCTGTGATCTTCCTGGAACCTTTGAGCTTTGACGTTTTGTGGTTTGGCAATGAGGTCAAAGAGAAATCTTATGTTTTATATTGTTCTAGTTCTTCCTTTACCAGAAAATGTTTGTTGATGCGTATTGAGCTCAAGTTGGCACTTCTTACTTCAGTCCAGCAGGTTTCCCAGCAATCGGGGCAGGGCTGGGCTGGGTTCAGATGTTTTCCTGGCACCCTGTTGTGAAAAGCTCTCTTATCTCAAGACTGAGCTCATGAGTCTCTCTTCTTTGTTTTTGACTTGGAAGTAACGTGTTGGTGGAGCGTGCATCACCTGTTTTGTCTTCAGAGTAGTGCTGCTCACCTGCAAGGGCTCAGACTTGTCCCGACTGCGTCCGCGTACTCTACACCTGCGTGTCATTGGGGCTCCTTGGCCCTCCTGAGCTCTCTGTGGGAGTCCCCAGGACGAGGGCTTTTGAAGATGTCAGCTCTTTTGATCACATTGCAGCAATCGGATCCGATTCTTCTCTTCTGTGTCTTTACTGACCCGCTGTCCGTTTCTCTAGTGGTGATGGGAGTGCAGTTGACATGGAGACACTTGATACTCGCTCCCAAACCCATTGATCTCACTTTTTGTTCTTCCAATAATCTAGATAACCATTGCTGGTTTAGTGCAGTGTTTCAGGGGCTGGGCGATACGGCCTAAAATTTATATCACGGTATAATTTTGATTTTGGACTGTAACAAATCTTTTCTCATAATTTAAATAGAACATGCTTTAAAGGGAAAACAAGTCTTGGATAGTAAGTTTTTATTGCCTGGAGTTAACTATTAGGTTATTAACTGTTGGTTAGCTACTGTGTTGTTCCTTTAGTATTTTTGAAATTTCACATTGAACTGAAGTAGTTTGTAATGTCCTTCCACCGCTGGCGTTTCTTGTCATGAGGACACCGACTAGTTAATGACTCGGGCTGCACTGTCTGTGTTGCGGCTTTTCTTTTCACACCAACACTAGAACCGCTTGATTCGGAGCGCATTCTCGGTACTTTCCTCACTTGCATACACGTTTCGTCTCTAGGTGATGGAAGAGGTTGCTTGTATTACCGCCTCTGGCTAAAATCGTCAACCGATGTAGATAACCGTTTTCTGTTCGTGGTCCGAATTTTAAAATCCGAACCACTTCTTTTCAACAATTTTGTCGCTGGTTCCCGTCTCGCTCACGCCGCATTTCTCGGCGTGTTTGTGTTTGCAGACGGGCACGCCGAACACGTGCGCCCGTTTTTCACGGAACAGGGAAGAGGACGCCCGCGTGTTTTTATTGGCCGCATTGACCTTGGATGCGTCATATACCGGACGTCTGAACCACCGAAGATCAATAATTCTGAACCAATCCGATTTCCAAATATCAGCAAGGTGAACATTTTCAGAATTATATAATGGGAGCTAAAAATTAGGCTGAATTTGAAACTATGACGGGTCAATAGTAACAATTTCCAAACCCCGTTTTGCGACGATTCTGGCGGCGCAATCTGTGTGAACATCAAAATCCGTTCTCTACCGGTAGAAACGGTATTGCCACATCCATATCGTGGCACATATTTCTACCGGTATACAGTCTATACTGGTAGTACTGCCCACTCCTAGCCTGAACCTGTGTCTGCTTTTATCTCTTCTTATGTGCTGCTGCAGAGCAGCACCCTGAGCTCAGCCACTCAAAACACAAGTGCCTGGCCCATCCTGGCTGTGGGTCGGTGTGATATTTCAACACTGGGCTTGAACAGTTTTAAGGCTATTTTTAAGCTCATCATCTTTTGTTGATCAGGGCCTCCCCGGTTTCCCTCCTCAGTGTTGAGAAAGGGCCGGGGAGGTTCGTCTGCTCCGGCCTGTGGGCCTTGGTGTGTTCCGGGAGGTGGAGAGGAAAGCCCAAGGATGGCTTTGCATCGCCGCTGTGCTCCAGAGGCTCAGCCTGGGGACTGCCCTGCCTTGGCACGCTGCAGCAGAAGGCTTGGCGCGCCTCCGGGCCATTAGGTAATCTGGCTGCTGGCGTGACTGCATGCCCCGTGTGTGTGTGTGTGTGCGGGCCGAGACACAGAGCTGCTCTGTTCTCGGTCCCGACAGGCCTCCCTCTGCCACTTCACGCGGACCTGGTGAGTGGCCCTGCCAGCAGGACCTGGCGCTGGCAGTAAGGTGGAGGGGGGCCCGAACAGACTGGGGCGGGATTGGAGGTAGGAGGGGAGCCCTACCGTCTAATCTGAAGAAGGAAACGGTTTAAACCTTCTCTTGATTAGGATTCTTGCTTCTTGGTTTGCAGGTATGAGCAAGTGTTCAGTGAGTTTAGAAGACCGAAAGATATTGTAAATGAGAACAGGTCTCCAAACAGCGCTTTGTTGCAGTCAAGGGTGCTACGCTAGCAGATTCTGGAGCTCCACTCACTGCTTTGGCTTTTCTGCATTGAATCGCCCCAGTTTGGCCTCGTCCACTTTGTGGGGCTGGTGGGGATCGCTGGAGCGGAGTGTTCTTGCAGGGAAAGGAGACTGCTGGGTCTTCTCCAGCTGGGATTTCTCTCCCGTGGAGCTGCGCAATGCCAAGGAGCAGGTGTTGCTCTTTATGTGGGCACGCTGGGCGCTCGGAGATGGAGGAAGGGCAGAGCCAGAAAAGAGGCGTTAAGGAGGTGATGGATTTGAAAGCCTTATAGATTTCCTCCTGGAGCTGCAGTCCTTCTGCGCCTCCTCTCTATGCTCCATGTGAGGCCTGGGTTTCTGTGGGCTGACGAGTTTGGGTCATGCCCTCCAGCGTCTGCAGAGAGATCACCTGCACAGGCCCAGGCCACCCCCTGCCCTGTGCCCTGTGTTCCCAGGATTCCCATTCAGGATGCTTTTCCCCACAGTCTACGGATTCCGATTCAAAGCCAGAGCCGTAACCTTACAACACGTCACTGTGTGAAAATGGAGGAAAATCTGAAATGCAGGAGTTTGGGGAGGAAAAAAGAGTGAATTTCATTGGAAAGGAAAAACATGAGCTATCCCTCTATTTTTGTAAAAATGCTCCTATTGCTCTTGGTGTTCGTTACTTCTCATGGCTGAGAGCGCTGACTCCTGCTGTCCCCCTGCCAGGTTGCCCTGGGCTGGGCTGAGACAGGGAGGCTGTGAGAAGCGGCGGAGGCCCTCGGGTTGTGATGCTCATGTGATGTGTGGGAGAGGCTGTGATAAGTGCGCTCTAGTTCGCCATTCGCTGGAGCCTCCGTTTGTCTGGGAAGAGAAGTGGGCGTTGTGTTTGGAGAGTGAGAGGTAAATGCATGTTACAGACAGGGCAGAGAGCAAGCAGCCATGCACTGTTCACCCCCCCGCCCCCCCCGTTTGAACCAGGGGTGTGGACTGGAGTCACAGACGAGTGTTTCCAGGTCTGTGAAGCAATACCTGTTCCAGCAGCCCTTTGCATAGGCTGGAATGAGCCACATGCCAGCGAAGGAGGGTTTTTCCTTACTGTCACAGCCTCTGCGCACCCCATTATCGCTCGGTAAAAGATCAGCCCTGTGCCAGTGTGCCGTGCCAGGTCTCCACAACAGTCGGGGAATCGGATTGCCCTTTAACTTTCATCACTCTCAATGATAAGTTTGTGAAAAACATCGGGGTGTTATGTTTTGGTACTGTATTGCGAGCCTGCTGTAGACGTACGACAGGCCGATGCTCGGAATCGGTGGTTTGAGCCCGAGGTATGTCTTGACATAGCTGGCTGTTTTGCAGAGCTGACCTCATTGCTGCTGGTAATTATACCCTTCGCACACCAGCAGGGGCCGGATTCCTCCACCTGCCATCCTGCAAGCGAACCCCAGCGGTTTAATAATAGATTCTGTCAGCAAGGAGATCAGCAGCTCCTTCCTGCAAGCTGGAGAAATGCGGTATCTTCTAAACCCCCTTTCCTCTCTGGACTGTAAGTCCAGGAGACTTAAAACTCTTTGTGCTATCAGAATGTGCCAGGGAGCTGCGGAAGAGCTAAAAAAAAGCCTGGCGTAGCTCCAAAGTGTGGCAATGGTGGAGACCCCTCACCTTGATATCACTTGAAAGCAAAAAGAGGTCACAGCGCTTCGTGTGGATTTTCTGTGTTTGTGTTACCTCCCAAAAAATAAGAGAAACTTGTTAAAAAGAAACAGAATGAACCGTTAGATAAGGAGTGCTCCAGTCTCCATGCCGAGCTGTGCAGTTTTGCATGAAGAGACACTGGGCCTTGGTTTTAAGGAGGAGCCTGGAGTTTTCATGCTGGTCGTAACTGTGTTTTCTCTTCACAGTACATCTTCAATGACCTGAGCGGCTCCGTGTCCCTGGCCTGGGTGGGGGACGGCACTGGGGTGAGTACTTCCTCCTGTCCTCCCCTTTATTTTCAGTGAACATGGTGTGAGACCAGTCAGGCCAGGCTGGGTGCCGCAGGGATAGGCCAGTGTGTTTCAGTGGACAACTGGGCAATAAATCAATAAGCACAGGTCTTTAACATTGAATTGAAACACTTCTTAATTGCGGGCTGTAGATGTACATTCTACTGCAGGATTGGCACCTTGTAGCCCGATCTCATCAGGGCTGGGCCTAGCCAGCACTGGACTGTAAGTAGTACAGGTGCATTTTTCTTTCTACAGCAATTACTTTAGCTGGATTTCTGGAGCTGTGTGGAGCATTGAAACAGAGCTCCAGTCCTGAAGAGCATTGTCTGACGCCGGGATCTCTGATGTCCAGACCATCTTCCTGTCTTTCTGCCGTCTTGACATGGCCTCTGTCTCCCAACATCACTCCAGCACTTCTCAGCTGGTGTGTTGCAAGGGTACGATATCCTGCCACTCGATTTGATTTCACCTTTTTCTCCTCTCCCTGTCCCGGTATGTCTAGGTGGTGTTGGCGCTGACCACTTTCCAGGTGCCCTTCTTCCTAGTGAGGTTCGGCCAGTCGAAGTTGTACAGGAGGTGAGTGTTGCCCATCCATGTGGTCGGAGCGAGAAGCTCCATCCCCTCCCTGGAAAAGCATACCCCTGGATAGCAAGCCTCCAGCAGGCCCACTGGCACAGCATCCAGAACTGGTTGCTGAATTTTGAGGGGAAACTGTAGACGATGATCCATACCAGAAACAGACACAACATTATTAGTCCCAGTACAGGCCTTGTAGAGAATATTTTTCTTATACAGCTCACTTCTGGATACAGTAGGTTTTTCAGCAGGAGCACATGACACAACTGACAAAGGATCTGCAGACCTTGGATTCCTATAGGAGATTCTGTATGGGAATAGCTTTATCCACCTGCAGGAGCCAGAGAGCTAGAGATGAGTCTGTGACTTGGGGGCTGGGGGCTCGCAGCTCGAGCCAGTTTTGTTGTAGGAGTGTCTGTTCATAATTATGAAGCCCTTTTCTCACACTCTGATCGAGATGATCAGAGCCCTTGTGGAGGTTTACTGCAGTGGGCTACAGTAAAGCACAGTGAATGAAAAGGTGCTGTTAACTGTGTGGTGTAATGACAAAGCAGGGGGTGGTTATGGAGCCACAGTTTCTCACCCAGCCTGCATCTGTCTGGCAAGAGAAGATGTCATTATCCTCAATTACTGCTAATTATAAACAAGGCTGTGCAAGGACTACATGATGCCGTTCTCAGAGACCGCAACACTCCCTTTCTATCTTTACCTTTGTCTGAATTCCCCCGGGGTATTCAGTACAAATGTAAGCCTACATGCAATGCTGGATATTTTTTAACCATGAATGAAAGCCCATTACTTATCCTTCTTAGGTGCAGTGTGGTATTGTCACTGTACTCCTAGCCCTGACTGAATAGATCTCTCCCTCTCTGTATATTTATCTCCAGACCCTCATGAAACATTTCCCCCTTACCTGTTTAACATGTTAATGTTAAAACCTAGTAACATGTGAATCTTTTTTTTTTTCCTCTTCGGTGTGGCCGCTCTCCGCGATGACATGCCTCTCTCTCTTTGTGGGTTTTAGTGAGAATTATGGGAAGACGTTTCAGGATGTGACGGGACTCATTAACAATACCTTCATCCGAACTGAGTTCGGCATCGCCATTGGCCCAGAGAACTCTGGGAAGGTTGGTTGAGGCCTGTGTGTGTGGGGGGGTGGTTCTGTGGTTTTGGAGTGACATTTGAGTCAGACATGTTTGATGTGGATTATGCACGATTAAACTTTGTTTTAAAATGATTATGACTGTCGCTGCCTCTATTACAGGTTCTTTTGTTACTGTTACTGACATGACTGTTATTACTGTCATCATTAGTGAAACTGAGAGCCTTGAGTGAAATAAAACTCATTAAACAGGTCTGCTGTTACTTTCTTTCATGCACCAGAGGTATCTGCCTCAACAAGCAGGTTTCTGATGAGGTTACATACATCAACCGTCTTACCCACAGGAGAGAATAGTGAAGAAAAGGCCTGGTCTGCTACTGCTTTCAGGTCTTTTTCAATATTTTAGGTGGATTGGATCACTTCTATGATTTATATTATGGTAATCAAATATAATATTTATTAGCATGATGGCGCAGTGATGAGCATTTCTGCCTCGCAGCACTGGGGCCCTGGCTTCAGTTCTGGATCTGGGGTGCTATCTGTGTGGAGTTTGTATGTTCTCCCCGTTTTCTTGTGGGTTTCCTCGGGTGCTCCAGTTTCCTCCCACCATCCAAAGACATACTAGTAGTGGCGTCCTGTCCAGAGTGTACCCTGACTTGCTGGGACAAGCTCTGGCTCTCCTTTGACCCTGATTTGGATGAAGCAGTTAGAAAATGGAGGGATGGAAGATTCATAATTCCTCAGCAGCTATATTGTAACACTCTTGTCTTGTCTGTTTCTGCTCCCCTCCAGGTCATTCTCACAGGAGAAGTATCGGGAAGCAAAGGATCCAGGATTTTCCGCTCAGTGGATTTCGGGAACAAGTTCTCCCGCACAGACGTGCCGTTCCTCCCACTGACGCAGATCTCCTACAACCCCTGGAACGCCAGCGTGCTGCTGGTCATCAGCATCAAGGTGAGGGGCAGTGCCATGTGGGGGCGAGCGCAGCAGGCCCAGCGGGGTTCCCTGGCGCCCCGCCTCACCCAGCTGTTCTCGCTTTGCTTTCCAGAATGAGCTGTGGCTTTCTGAAGACTTCGGGGAGACCTGGAGGAACGTTCACGGGACCGTCTGCCTGGTGAAATGGTAAAGAGCCCACCGGCCCGGCCCCGGTTTTGAGCAGAGGGCACTGTCCCAGCTGCTGCATCCGCTTTTCATGGTTTTTCCCGAAAGCCGCGAGAAGCAGCCTGGCGGTGTTTTTCCATTCTGGAATAACCGAGGATGTGGGGACAAGCGGGGAAGTCCTCGCTGAGCAAGTGTGTCTTCACAGCTGCTGCAGTGCGGGAGTGCGGTCTGTCTGACCTTCAGGGATCCGCGGGAGGTTGTAGTTCTCATGCACCGCAGGTTTCGCCTTCCCTGCTTTTTGAAATGTGCCTACTTGACTGATCTAGACATGTAAATCCTTGATCACAGTATCGGGAGGTAAAAATCAAATTCTTAGCCTGGATTAGCATAATAGGTGATGGGGGGGGGGGGAATAATTTTTTTTCTGCCGAGTTGGCAACTTTGTTGTGTAAAATCTACTTCCGGAATCGTAGTGAGTCTGGTTAACTGCAGCTTTGTCCTGATTCTGCTTCCAAAAGTGTTGTACAATGCCATTAGAGAGGTATGGATGAATGTTAAGCGCTGGAGAGCTGTGGCACAACCTCTCTGTGACCTCTGTCTCTCTGGTTCCAGGGGTCCAGAGAACAACATCTTCTTCACCACCAGCCCCAATGGATCCTGCTGTGAGTCATGTCGCCACGACAACCTGTGAAGAGACACCAGGGCCTGCTCACACAGCAGCAGCCTGTCTTCCCTCACATCCTGCCTCCTGTTTGTGATTTATTGTGTTGAATATTGGATGAGCAAGGATAAACTACCGTACAACTTGTCACTGTAACTGCTGCCAACTGCTGTTTTAAGATGATTTTATACAAAAGCTAAAGATTTTAAACTTTACAGTTTTCTTTTTTTTTTTTTGAATGAGACAAACTAAAGATCTGCCGTATGGCCTTTGTATTGCCAGTTGACCGGGGCTCACTGGAGCTGAAGAAGACAACGGATTTCGGGAGGACCTTCAAGACCATCGGCACCAAGATCTACTCGTTCGGCCTGGGGGGCCGCTTCGTCTTCGCTTCGGTCATGACCGGAAAGGTGGGATGACCACTCCCTCCTTGGGCAGCTCGTTGGGGACACTGTGACCCGGCCCTGTTGGTGTCCTGACACTCTGGTGCCGGATTCGGAGTGCAGACGGCTGTTCTGCTGTGCTTCTGGTGTGGATTTGTGATGCGCTGTGGTTGTACATGTGGGGACAGCGTGCGCAGCTGTGCAGTGTTCCTGCGCTTGGGTTGTGTGTAACGTCACGGTGTGTGCATTGACAACATGCACAGTTGTGTGGTGCTCTTGCCCCTGCCCCTGCCCCTGCCCTGGCATTGTGGTCAGTATGTGTGAACGCCGACGGGCTGTGTCTGCTGTGCAGGGGACCCTCAGGATGATCCACGTGTCGACGGACTGGGGCGAGAGCTGGAACATGGCCCAGCTGCCCCACGTCAGCCACGAGCAGTTCTACTCCATCCTGGCTGCCGGCGACGACATGGTCTTCATGCACGTGGACGAGCCAGGAGGTGAGGGAGGAACTCGTGTGCGAAATTCTCCAGCACTGGCGCGAGCGTTTTGCATCCTGGAACGATGGTTATGCAGTGACAGTAGAGTAACTTGATAAAGAATGGAAATTGGAAGCAATCTTGCTGTTTTAAAAGGGTGTGACATTTCTTTATATTTTAGTAGTAACCAGCCACAGAGTTCACCTCCTCGTGAGCAGTATTCTTTCTCTGTCGCTGGTATAAAGCCATATGGAGCAGCTGTGCCTCGAGGGTCAAATAAAAGTCAGGCTGTCTTTTCTTTTTTTCTGTGGTTGTCTCTGCCGTAAAGGTTAGAGGGGCCTGTGCTGATCAGCTTCAGTGTTCATGCCGATGAGCTGGAGCAGCGCAGCTCAGTTCTCTGGGGAAAGTTCTGTTGCCTTTGGCAACATGGTTAGGGCTAAATTCAGATCACGCCCCTGTGAGCATTGTTTCCGTAAAATCTAATCAAATTGAGCATGCTCTTGGTTTGCTTACTGGAAGAGCTGCTGGAGGTATTATTTATTTGTTAACAGCCTCTAAACTAAGAGCTTGGGAACTGGAATTGCTGAAGTCTACATATATCATCAAACCAAGGCAGGCCAGACACGAGACCTATCAGGTTTCCATCTCTGTGATTTGAGGCTACCAGTATCCTGGGTTTACTCAAAAAGTGTTAAATTGGCTTTGGCTAAGTTTTGTGCCTTCCCCATAAAGTAAAAATGCTTCAGAGAGCATGAATTTGGGAGAGCAGGTCACATTTAAAGCGACAGAGTTCTCTGAACATTCGGACACACTTGAGCTGGTGTACAAATGACGCTTTTCATTTTCATTTTTGACCTGTGCTCCCACCCCCACCTATCCTGATGCTCGCAGACACGGGCATCGGCACCGTCTTTGTCTCCGACGACCGCGGCACCGTCTACTCCAAGTCCCTGGAGCGCCACCTCTACACCACCACAGGGGGCGACACCGACTTCACCAACGTCACCTCGCTGAGGGGAGTCTACATGACCAGCGTGCTGGCCGAGGGTAGGTGGCAGGGCTCCGCGGAGGGAGCAGAGAATACCTTACTGCTTCTCGAACCCGCACCAGGAGGAGCCTGGTGATCTATAGGTTTTGTTCCAGTTTCGTCACTGCACGCTTTTACGTGTTATTTCTAACACTGTTGTAAAATGTTCCTAAAGCTGGAAATTGCCAGCGTTTTAAGCGTTAAATATATTGAAAGCCTCCTGGTGCATGATGATGTGTGCTTTGGAATAAAACCTGAAGGCTCTGGGCTCCAGACGGCAGACATTAAGGTTAGCGTGAGGGACCAAACATGCGAGGTAAACAGGAAATGAGGTGTATGTGAGGTAGGGTACTCCCAGTGCAGATGAAAAGGGCAGGAAATGTCTCCAGGTTCCCCCCTAATTGACAAGAGGATCATCAATTACTCTTTATTCTGCCCTGGGGTGCTGGTAGCACTCCTGACCGCGTGTGCGTCCCTGTTGTGTTTCAGACGGCTCGGTGCAGACAGTCATCTCCTTCGACCAGGGCGGGGAGTGGAAACCCCTCCAGAAACCGGCGAACAGCGAATGCGACTCCACCGCCAAGAACCGAGAGATGGTGAGGGCCCCGGGCGTCCTGCCCCCAGCTCACAGCAGAGGGAGGAGAGGCAGGGGGGTGGTCCTGATGCACTCCTGGGCCTGGAGTGAAGGAGCAGACTTCTGGATTGACATGACTGGCTTAAAGCACCTCACTCTTGTGTTCTGCTGTCTTTTTCAGTTGAGGAGTTAGTTCTGATTTAATCTGTAAAACCTACAGGGCTGGGTCTTTCCAGGCCTTTGGTGGTAGTAGCACTGGCTTAGTGTTATGGTTGAAAGTCAGTAGTTGAATTGATTGGGTATTATTTGAAGTTATTTATACCTGTGCCCTTTCTCTATATGAGTGATTTTCCTAAGAAACTGTGGAGGTAAAGCCCAACCCCTCAGATCCCAGGTCAGGAATGGGATATGGAATGCAATGCGATGCATCAGTGTCCAGTCGCGTTCTGCCAGGAATAAACAGGGTTTCGTTTAAAAAGCTTGGGTGCCCGTTGAGTGGTATCTGGTCCGTCTACAGAGTGCAGAGCTTGACGGGCTTACTCGTGTGTTTTTCTGTTTACAGTGCAGCCTTCACATCCATGCCTCCTACAGCATCTCTCAGAAGCTGAACGTTCCCATGCTGCCTCTGTCGGAGCCAAACGCCGTGGGGCTGATCATTGCACATGGTATCTGCCACTGTTCCCCTGCCCCCGGCTCTAGCTGGGCACCCTTTGTCCAGCTGTAGTCGCGTTCAAGGAAGCTTGCTTTGTCTTGGGTCTCCAAGGGACTCGGTCTTCTGCTTCGTGTCTTAATTAGTTAATTGGTTCAATTAGATCCAGAATTAATGTTTGAATAATTGATTTATGGTTTAATATGGAGCCTTATTTTTGCCTGCTAGCAATGGAACTGGAGTTATTGTACATTAGTGTGCACTGCTGCGACTGTCGTTCTGCACGCGGCTCTGTCTCGGCCGCTCACCCCCTCTCTCGCCTCTCCAGGGAGCGTCGGGGATGCCATCTCGGTGATGAGCCCTGACGTGTACGTGTCCGACGATGGGGGTTACTCTTGGATCCGCGCGCTGAACGGGCCCCACCACTACGCCATCCTGGACTCGGGGGGCTTGCTGGTGGCTGTCGAGCACACGAGCCAGCCCATCAACACGATAAAGTGAGTCTGGTCTGCTAACTGCCCAGACGGGCTCTGATGCCATCAGCATCGGTGACATTGCTGCTGCTGGCACTGATACTGGTACTGTAATAGGTGCCTCCACATATCGCCTGTTTCAGTGCCTGGGCAGGGGTGGGCAAGATGGGTATGAAACTGCAGCACTGCTTGGCCTTCTTTATTTTGGTTTCTGTGTTCTGGTGTACCTAGATAAGTGCGGTCAGCAGAGCATCCCCTTTATCTGCATGTGACTCTGTCTGATTCAAGTTACAGTGTGGTACTTTCTTCCTTGTAACGGGTGTGTGCTGTTGAACGAGATCTGACAGGGAAGACCTTAAAACTGCAGTGTGACGAGGGGTCGCTCTACGAGAGGACTGATCCGTTTCTCGTTTCGTCCTGTGTGTGTGTTCATGCTGCAGGTTTTCCACAGACGAGGGCCAGTGCTGGCACAACTACACCTTCACCAACTCCTCTCTCTACTTCACTGGCCTGGCGTCCGAGCCGGGGGCGCGCTCTATGAACGTCAGCATCTGGGGCTACCGGGAGTCACTGCTGAGCCAGTACTGGGTCTCCATCACCATTGACTTCAACGACCTGCTGACACGGGACTGTGAGTCCTCCGGGCCCAGGGGTGGGATTAGAGGGAGAAAGTGGACACTCTAAATTGGCGTTTTTCAGTCCTAAGATTTTGGGGATCCCAGAATCCGATCCAGAGGAGTTTTGCTCCATCCAGCACCTGGTTGTTGGATCTGAATGTCTTTGAACTGCGTGATTCACAAGCAGTGTCTTGGCCACTTGGAGGATGGCTAACTTGGCTGTATACCTCTTATTCTTTGATTATTTTTGCAAAAAAAAAAACTTTATTTTTTTTTTACTTTATACGCAAAAACGTGTGGGTGGACTGTGACGGTCTCATCTGTCCGCCCCCTGCAGGTGGCGAGAAAGATTACGTGGAGTGGCTCGCGCACTCGGACGACCTCAGCGACCCCAACGACGGCTGCATGCTGGGCTACAAGGAGAAGTTCCTGCGGCTCCGCAAGGACTCTGTGTGCTGGAATGGCCGCGACTACGTCGTCAATAAGCAGCCCACCCCCTGTCCCTGCACGCTGGACGACTTCCAGTGGTACGAGCCCAGTCTCTGACTAGGCACTCTGGGCAAACGTACCCTCTGCTTTGAATTCACTGGCACCCAGCAGCAAATGAGGACCACAGAACGGGGCAGCACTCTTGCTGCCCTAATAATGCCCTGATCAGTCCCCCCAACTCAAGTGTGAGCGTGAGTGTGAGTCGCCCTAATCAGCTCTCGGAGTTCATCAGAGAGAGGAGTGGATGGACACTGTCGAGAGGCATGCGAGCACAGAAATCGGTGGCTTGAAACTGTGGAGCTGTAGAGTGGCCCCCCTCTCATTGTAAATGTGATGCCTGAAGCCGGCCCTGTATCCGACAGGTGTGCGGGAGCTCTCACCAGATTTGTGGGAATTATTGCTGGCACCGAAACCAACGGGTGTCGGGTCAGGTCCCGGTGAAGACCAGTTTGTGCTAAACACCTTGCTAACTGAGTGTCTGGCTGATTTCCTGTAGTGACTTCGGATACTACCGTCCAGAGAACAGCTCCGAGTGCCTGGAGGAGCCGGACCTCAAGGGCCAGGTGCTGGAGTTCTGTCTGCATGGGAAACAGGAGCAGCTTCAGACCAGCGGGTAACAATGCACACCTTACTTGCTCAGCCTGTAGCATGTGTAATGCCCTTATCGGCCTCTCTAGCTCAGCCTGTAGCGTACATGTGTGCGCATGTGTGCGTAATGCCCTAATCAGCCCCCAGAGATCATCAATGGGAGTAGTGGATGGACAAAGTTGAGAGTTGGACATGACCTGCTGGTGGCTGCGTTCCAGTGGCCTGGGCAGGTGTTGAATGGCCAATGTCAGCGTAGTCCTTTAGGATTCCAGAAAGCAGGACAGCTGTGGAACTTCTCCCCTTTGTTGTCCTAGATACCGGAAGATCCCTGGGGACAAGTGTGAAGGTGGGACTCTGCCCCAGAGGAAGTTGATAGACCTCAGCAAAAACTGCGTCAGTAATCTTCTGGGGCCGGAGCAGCTGGTGAGCACCATGTGCCAAAGCAAGGGCCTTAGCGCAGCCTGCCTGAATGTTGGGACTGTGGGCTCTGTGCACTGTGGAGCTGTCAGCTATACTGGGAAACAGCACTATACTGCCCAACAGTGGACCATGTTCCTGCCAGTTTCGGTCCCAGAGCTCGTCCTCGGGTGGATCCTGTAAACCATGTTATTTTTACAGTGGTAACACCTGCAACCTTCCCAGCACTCTCCCAGTCCTGTCGCTGTTCTGTGTTTGGTGGAGAGAGTTGTGGAGTTAAGAGTGTGCATGTTATTTCTACTGTGACATTTCGGCTGCTTTTTCCTCCTTGCATTCACTCATCTTCCGCTTGTTCTCTCTCCATCCCAGACAGCAGCTCCCTCCTTCAGCTCGGCGCCCATAGTGGCCGCAGTCATCGCCATCCTGCTGGTCAGTGTGGTGGCAGGGGTGCTGTTCATCAAGAAATACGTCTGTGGTGGGAGGTGAGTGTTGCGCTGGCGGGGTGGGGGGTGTGTGCTGTGCCAGTCCACTCTCACCACTCCAGTGACACGGGGACAGCACCAGCATGACATACCTTGCTGCCGTTTATGCATCTCGCCTCCTTGTCTGCTCCAGGAGGATGCAGGCAAGGGTTCAAGTCTTTTGGAACAACCTAGATAATTCTCGAGGAATCGAGTGTTTGTCCTCATAGAAACGCTGACGCCCTTCATGGTCTATCTGCATAGTATGTAGTCAATGTTTGTCTGGTCCTCTGGTGTCAAACCCCTTTGCTGCAACACAGGCGAGCTCCTCTAGCTCTCGAGCAGTTTCTTTTTACCATTAACCCCTTCTTCACTGGGGGGTGAAAACTCAAGTTTGTTCTCGGGTTCACCTTCAGCTTCATTTAACTAGATGGACTTTGAGAGATGAGATTAGATCAGGCACAGTACAAAAAAAGGGTTAAGAGTGACTTTAAACTATGTCTGTCCTTTATTTTATAGAATCTCTCCTCTATACAGGTGATACCCTAATTTAGATCTGATTGTTGTAGCCGTATTGTGACATGCAGGAGAAATCAGATTTATTGGTCTATAATTACTTGTTTGGTTTAGGTACTCTTTTTATGGATGGGCACTTCATCAGCAGTCTCCCAGTCTTTTCTTATCCTTGTTATCCTGTGCAGTTTGTGCAAAGCAGGGCCTTTCATCTTGCATCTTGCAAGACCTGCAAGGGGTTAGTTAGATGGAGAAGCCTGGTGTGTCCAGGCTGTGCTCACGCGTGGTCTGGGCTGTGCTCGGCAGGTTCCTGGTGCACAGATACTCCATCCTGCGGCAGCATGCTGAGGCCAATGGCATCGAAGGTGTGGACGAGCTGGACGCCCACGTGGCCGAGACAGGCAAGAGGGACTATCACGACGACTCGGATGAGGTATGGTGTTCGGCAGCTCCCCCACATTTTCGCTGTTTGAAAAGAAAAATAATTGAACTGATGGGTTGTTTTGTTTTTTTTGCAGGACCTACTAGAGTAAAGAGTGGAGGGGGGGCCCTGAGGCCACTGTAGTGGACAGCTAAGCCCAGCCTCAGCTCACTATCTGTCTGACTGTCTGTCTCTGAGCCTGACCGGGAAGTCCTTCTGCTCCAGCTGACCAAAGACCCCCTTCCTCCCCCCCACCCTTGTCTCCAGATACAGCCACACGGCGTTCCCGAACACAGTCACACAGTCAGGAGGCTCAGCAGGTGGTGTGGGATCTCCGTTTAGTATACAGTATAAAAGGAAAGTATGTTTTATTTGCTTGCAGCTTTCCATTTCTTTGTTTGCTTTTCCTGCTCTTACCTTGGACTCTGTGACAATGGGGGAGTAATGCTGCTGCAGGTCAAGGACCCAGGAGGGACAGACAGATGGACGGACATGTCTCTCCTCTGGAGAGGCATGAAGGCAGGCCCTGCTGGGACTGGCAGCGTTGTTCTTGCAGGGAGACGACCCCCTGCTCGGGTGAATCAAACAGCTTCTTGGGGGATCCATTGTGGTGAGGCTAGATAATTGTAGCTTTCCTGTTACGCTACAGTTTTTTTTTCTCTGCATCAAAACAGACAAGACGGAGGGTAAATGAACCCTCATAAGCAACCTCTGGGGTGAGCATTCACCCCCGCACCTGAGAAATCACATGCTTTCACCACCTTAGTAGATAACTTTTGGGGTACTGATTTAGTGTAATTTTCTGCAGTGCCAGGAATGTGAATCCACGTTCGGCATCGTTTCTTAAAGGAGTAATAAAATGCATCATGATAAATGGGTTGTTTTAGCTCACCCTATGGATAAATTGTTGCTGTGATGAGCCACATTTTGAATGCATTTAAAAATAATTATAGTCACAAATTGAGTTTTTGAAAACAGAAATCTGTTACTCATTTTATTTCTTTTTAATTTGTCCATATGCACTAGGTATTCAATTATTACTTTACTCCACAATACTTTATTAACGCTTGTCAGGGTATTATCCTGAAAAAAGACTCGTGAAATGTCGACAAGTGTTAATAAATAGGTTTGGAGTAGAATGTGTGCCAGTTGACTTTGTACTTTGACAGATTTTTACTGGACAAGATCTCAGTACCTTCTGAGTGTGCACTTTTTATCGTTTTTAAGTATTGTCTCATGCGGTACGGATCCCAACTTTGTCATCTTTCAGGCGACGTCGTAAGTGGGCAATAATAAAGCGCAGCCTGGCGTGAGTGTCAAAAGAAAGATTTGTGTTGGTGAAAACTCTGCAACTGCAGTCCACACGGGAGCAGTGTATCGGGGTACACTCGAGTGCAGGGTAGGCTCTCGGCTGAAGGTTAGGGGGTTCAAGGCTTAATTCTCAGATGTACGGAGATACATAGCTACCCTCCTGAAGGTGACCTTACACGCCAGAGTAATGTGGAGTTGGTAGAAACAGTCTTAAGCAATAAAAATTGTGAAGGATATATATATCTATCTATCGTGGTGCGTGTGTGGACCGTTCAGTCCAGCAGCACTCTTAGTCCATGTTGTGTGTGTTTGATGTGTAATAAATCGGCAGGGTTTGACGCTGGTGGTAGTGCTAACGGGAGCCACATCACTGACTGTCCCTCATTGATCTGGCCAGAAGCTCAGATGCTGCACCTGGAGACCAGGACAGTTAAAGTAAACAGCTGGGACCACACAGACAGTGGGAGAACAGGTGCTTGCGGCCATGTCATGTCAAAGACATGCCGCAAGGAAACTGGACAATAATGTTGGTGGGATGTGGAGGGGCTTATTTTAATACAGCAAAATCAGCTTTGTCTTTCTTTTGTCACATCTGTTCTACGCCCCTCGTAAGGATTTTGTGATGGCAGAATGTTGTAGCATGATGAAGCATTTCCCAGTCTTGTTCCTTGAGTGGACCTGTCTCTCCTGGATTTGTTCCAACTGAGCTTTGTTAGGGTGGCTCTTAAATCTCTTCAACTGAACTGTTTGCTGGTGTTGTTAAAACTGCGGCTGTTCTTCAATAGTAGAACAAAGTTAGAAGTTGGTGTGAACCCCGAGTGCTAGATGTTGGCTCTCTGAGGTTTGTTTCAGTGACTTGGTTGAAAGCAGTTCAAGTAAGTAGCTGCGTAAGCATACATAGGCTGCAAAGGAACAGGTAAAGGCTTATTCCATGCTAAAAAAAAGAGCAGTTTGGCTGTGGAGCCTTCTTTGGGCATCTCCTTTTCTTTTTCTTTCAGCGTGAAATAAACCTTTACCTGTTCCTTTGGCTGAAAGTAACCAAGTTCATTGAAAAATAAGTTATTTAGAAAGAAGGAGAAAAGCAAGGAAAGAAGAGTTGTGCTCTCTCCTCTGTGAGGTACACAAAGGAGATTTGTGAGACTGTTAAGTGCAGAAAAATGAAGAATCAATCTGTTGATTTAATTATGGGTATACGTTTAACTGATCAGGAGCTCAGCTGGATTGCAAACCAGAAGATAAAGTGGTCTCCAGGAGAAGGGGGGAAATGCTAGCCTAATGCTTCTGGGAGGACAATAACATACAGTAACTGTTGCCCTGACTATATTCTAAAAATATTTGTCCTAGTTTGGCTGTTAAGAGAACTCCTGCTTTGAGAAACGACGCAAAGAGAGTGGCTAGCTGTAGTGCCATCCAACAGAATGTTACACTAAAAGGGCCTGTGTGAGAACAACTGGTACTGCACTGTCACTGCGTTGTACTCTATTAACTGATCATCACTGCCTGGGAGGAACAACTTCCTGTTTGGCACACATATGAACAGGGGACATACATAGAAGCTTGCTGTTGTCTGCTGTGTCGACAGTCTTCCCAGAAGCACAAATCTTCTTGACTTATTTCCATTCTTATTTCTGTCACATGGGTGAGGCTGAGCACATGTGTGGTAGGTGAAATTTCTAGTCAGATTTGTAGCACTGACGGGAACCCTTTTTGCCAGAGGATTGTTGCAGGGGGGAGGTTTAAGCTATTGCACTTAGTATATGTTAATCACTTAAAAGCATCTAAAGAAACTGTTGGACGATATAAATATGACAAACATACCTTGCCTTTTTTATTGGAGTATGGTTATAGTACATGCACATTTAGATAATAGTTATGACTGTAGTAGTTATAAATATGTATTACACATACTACTTGGGCCAAAAACACTCAGCCTATTGTCAGAACTTCCAACTGAGGTACTTAAGGGTGCAGAAAGGATTTCATTGTATGCAAATAATGTTTTAATAATGACAGTAACGATTCAAATTACTGGTGGAAGCAAACATGATTACAAACAAGTTAACAAACATATATATAAGAGGATATATGGAGTAGTCTGACAATCCGTTTTTTTTCCTCTTCTGTGGTTGTGTGTGAAGCACTAATAAAAACCTGTAATGACCTGAAACTACCAATAGAGAAAATGACAATGTTTGGTATGCCGTTCCCTTGCAGAAGGGGGTGCTGTCAGTTCTGTTCCAAGTCCTCTAGGGCAGTGGTTCTCAAAGTGTGGTTCGCAGACCACCAGTGGTCTGGGAGTGTGTGCCAAGTGGTCCGCGGGCTGACCTAATCATGACCTAATCACCTAAAGCAAGTCTATGCTATTTCAGAGGAAAGAATATTGTAGTGCTCGCTACGAAGGGGCTCCCCTAGGAGCACTGTTAAGAACTGCAAGCTGTAAAAAGTGGAAGGAGGGACTTGTATGTTGGTTCTAGGTATCAGGATTTCACCAGCCGTTAAGGGGACTGTTTGTGTCAGTAATGGGGCGAGCACCAGTGTAGTTGTAGACTTGGCTGACTTGAAGGTCTGCCGAAAGGGCAAAGTTCCCATTCATTCTCCTTGGCTGTACCCTTCTGTTCCCTTTTGTGTTTTAACTAAACTTGAGTTATGGCGGACCAGCTCGCCTCTTCATTCTCCCCATCAGCGCCTATCGGTTCAGTATTTTAGTTTTATGCACCACGAATGAAATGATGTCACACACACAGTCTATTGTCGTTAGTGATGCACGGGTCAATTTAAAATGCTGAAAGTACTGCCCTGAAGCCGGTCCGAACCCGCTCCATTAGAAATTACACCGAACAATATTCAAACATTCAATTGATCAACATTTATTGAAACAGCATATCCAGCTTCCTTGTTTTAAACAGACTAACGTAGCCTAGTCTAGTGACTGTCATTTGTGTAAAGTGCTTCACAATCGATGAGTAACCTGTGCTTTTTTACTCTGTTGTGCTGACTAGCTCCCCAAACGTCTCCCACCTGGCTCTTTTTTCGCTCTCTCTTATTTTTATCTCGCTGTTCTGGAGTTGTGTCCTGATCTGCTCTAACAAGGTTGCCATTATGTTTTTTTCTTTGTAATACATTGTGTTCTGTTTGTTTACGTTTTCTCCCAATTTGCCTTGTGATGCAACATATAGGGGCTTAAAATGGTAAACCGTCAGTTTTAAACCTTAAAATCACTTTAATTTAATATACAAATTATCAGTTTTCTGCAATATTTTGCTTTTGGTCATATATCAATCCACACCCGCCCAACCCGATCTAAAATATATTTTGAACCCGAGTCAACCTGCACATCACTAGTTGTCATGATTGAGTCGTTACGCCATTTACGTTTTGATATGTGAGTGTGGTTTGATTGTTGCGCTTATTATTGTTTGTACCATTTTGAGTTTGAAAGTTCAAAGTGTAATTTAAAGAAGCAGTCAAAGCAGAAGGGTTATTATGGATCACTGGCTCAAATCTGGGACTCTGAAATGCAAATATAGCGATGATAGTGACAGGGCAAGTGCGAGTAAGATGCAGAATAGAAGTGAAAATGCAAGTGAGGTAATTTGTGAACCATACCAGCAGTGCTGTAATTCTAATTCCAACAGCTTGATAAATGTGATGTGCAAGGAAGCAGAAGGTGTGCTTGATGTGATGTCTGCGTCTGCTTCCGGACGTGAGACTAAAGTTGTCCAGCTTGGATCCAGATATCACTTCTCTGATTGCACAACAAAAGCAGCTCCATTCTTCACATGAACTTTTTAAGTAATAAAAAGAGTTGCAAAATACGCAGCTTTGATGGTAAAAATATTGGTACTTTTCATCAAATTTAATTCAATATTAGTTATTTTTAGTAAATTGATAGGTGGTGATTTTTACAGGGGAAAAAGTGGCATAGGCGGTCCTACGCATCTGTGACCTGGTGTAAGCGGTCTGCGGACCATAGAACTTTGAGAACCACTGCTCTAGGGGATCATGGGTCTGGACTTCTGCCAGCTGCCATGCTGCGGTACTGTGGTTCTCTTAGCCTTAACTGGTAGAGGTGGGCACAACAACGGGTGCCATCTGGACACGAATACACTACATCTCGGACCTCACGCATCCAAGTCTTAAGTTCCAAAAAAGCTTCCTTGGAGAGCAAGCAGCCTTTTAAAAGACTCAGCATTTTGATTACATTCTCAAGCTTTTGTAGCTGGGTCTCATGGTGTTTCACACTGTTGTTTTTTTCTTTTCACTTTCTGTGCTTGTAATGTCTGAACGGCTGGAAGATGATCTCGAATCCAAGTTAACCAGGAGGCAGAACGTGTGTTTTTGTTATGACTGCTGCTTTCCAGACAGTCCTACCCTCCCCACACATGCCTTGGGGGCTGGGAGGCCTAAGCCTTTGTAGATCACAGCCTCTCGTGAGCCTGGGTTGCGTTTCAACGTCTGTCCAACTCTTTGTGGTCTGGACACACCTTCTGCAGCCTCGTGTGCATGAAAAGTAACGTTTCTTTTGTGGCCAAACGGGCAGAAGGGGCTTAAGGCTGTCTGCTCAAACCCCACCAGCCCACACAGCCAGGCAGGCACAGATGCAACTGTGTCCCCAGGGAATGCAGGCTCGTGTACCCACTGAAGACTCGGAGAGGCAGGGTGGCGCGATGTCCCTTACACTATTATGGCATCGGCTCAGCCTGTCAGCGTGTGAATGTACTTCATTTTGTTTTCTTTAGCTCACCTTGCAAAAGTGCCTGTGTGAAAAATACCTGTGTCCTGTAGACCATGAAAGCAGTTAAAACTGGTTTAGTAATGACTTAAAGAGCATGAAAACTGACACAATTACCTATTACCTAGTACCCTAACAGTTGATCTGTAGCTTATTTGATTTGTTCCAAACTGACCTTTTTTGGGACAAAAACTGATTTCATATTTCCGTGGACTTGGATATTTTTTTTGCCTGTATGTACTCTTCTGCAGTACTGGAGTTAAGGCATGTTTGATTGAAGAAGGCATCTCCAAGGTCTTGTTGTGGCTCTGAAAGAATCCCTCTGTAGGGAAAGATGCACCCAGCTCCTGTCCCCAAAGGCCACAGTCCAGCAGCATTGTGTTCAACCTGCCCAAATGATGAGCTTCAATGGGTAAATAAATCTGGGGGTGGGGGACAAAAACCAGTAATGGACAGCCCTAGGCTAGTACAAAAGAAATACCAAGTACCCAGAATCTTGGGGGTGGAAGAACAGGGAAGATCATGACCGCCTTGCAGGAAGCGAGGTGGAAGGTTCCGCACCAAGCCCCTCATCAATATGGCTGCAAAGCTGGCATCTTTGTCCCTTGCTTACTTCCGCTTACTTAGTTCCTAGAACTTGCACAGGCGTGCAGATCTGGTTCAGTCCGACACACAGCCCTCCTTCAGGAACAAAGCGGCTTTCAGCAAGCCTCACATGCTGCTTCTCACACCCTCCAGAGCAGTGATCTAAGTAATGCGTTCCACATTTCAGATGTAGAGGACATACGCTTTGGGAGTTTTCAGAGAAGGGGGAATTATTAATAAATAATTTTGTTTCCTGGAGTCTGGTGAGAGTAAAGATAATTCATTTTTGAATAATTATACCAGAGGTGCACAGCTCCTGTGCTGACATGGGGTGGGGCCTGTAGGTGTTTGTACAAACTCTTCAGTGATCTCAATGATTTCCTGTTAACGTTAACTTGAACTGATCCAATAGTAGTTCACCTGTTGATTTTTGTAGAGACTTGGAAAACCTGCTGGATTCCTTCCCTCAAGTACTGGAGTTGTTCATTTTTGCATTTTTACCATATTAGCTTATCAACAGGCTTTATACCCCTCTTCCTCATTCATGGCTGACGGAGGGTGGATGAGAATGGAATCTCAAGATGTTGGGGTTGGGTTTCTGATAAAAGTGCCAGCTATGGAAAAGCTGTAATGAAGACAGAGGAAACTGTTTTCCATTCTTTCTCTGTAATTGTATGTAGATAGGGTTAAATGTGGTCGCTACATAAAATGACTGTTCTACCTTTGGACTGGCTGTTTATTTCTGTATATTTGGGGAAAAAAAATCTGAAAATGTTTGGTTTACAAAAAACATTACTGGTACTTTTCTTTGCAAAGCAGGTTTTTTCTTTTCAAATTGACAATAAAAACAAAATGATAATGCCTCTGCTTTTTATTGAGGGGAAAAAAAAACATTCCAAAACACAGGCTCATTTGTAGCTATTTTAATGCGGTACAGTGGCTCTGCGGCTGGAAGGTTGCCGGTTCGTATCGGCGTATCTTACTTCCAGCAGAGCAATCCTACTCCGTTGGGCCCCTGAGCAAGGCCCTTAACCCCCACTGCTGCAGGGGTGCCCTATAAAGGCCTGACCCTGCCCTCTGACCCCAAGCTTCTCTCCCTGTCTATGTGTCTGAGGAGCTAGTTGGGGTATGTGAAAAAAGACATTCCTAATTACAAGAAATTGTATATGGCCAATAAAATGATCTTATCTTAATGCATGGATGTCACTCAATCATCTATACTTTCCCATTGTTAGACTTATCAGTCTCCAGTGAAGGCATTCCAACTCGGTGCTCAGCTAGTCAGGCTTTGGAGAACAACCATCGGGCAGGCCTGTGCCAGTCCTGGCTCTGAAAGGTCGGTTTTATTAGACCTCCTTTAATACAGCAGCACCTGAAGAGCTGGGAGAAGCAGTAAAAGTGGCCACAAAGGGACAAAAACAAAACCAGCATCTGAATTCCTCTGCATTACAGGGAAATTAACCCTCTCGTCGCCTACAGCCCTGAATCAGTAGAAAATTTAGAGCAGGGGAAGACAGCCCATCCCTCCTGTTAGGTTTTTTTCATCTGGCTCATTCTTAACTACAGAGGAGATCTTCAAGACTTGGGTCAATTGAGCTCAATTTAGTGACCGACGTTGGGAAAAGCTCACAGGCTGGTAACCGCAAACACAGAAACATGTCAAGGTTTCCTTGCCCTTGATTCAGAGCAGCCAGGGAAAGCAGGGGCTGCTGGTTACCCACAGTCTGGCAGTTACACAGACACGGGGCTCGAATTCATCAGTGGGAAGCATTTCACTAATGAGGGAAACAAGTATGAGCTAAACTTTAAAGGCAAAGTTTGAAATATCTAACTAAATCGGGCAGGTATCGTCATATAATGATAACTCGGTGAGGGAGGAATTTGCTCAAAACTGACATTTTGGACTGCAATCCTACAGTGTAGTGTGCTGCTAAAAATAACCATCACCCACCCCCCCTCTCCCCATACGAGCCCCGCCATCTAGATGTATTTCTTCCTGTCCTGGAGGTACATCACTCCACCGAGGTGCTTTCTTATGCTGTGGATGTGGGAGGCAAACCACACTCAGCAGCCCACAGATGAGCTGGGTACTTCTTCAGGCTGTGTTTAGCAGGACAGTGGCAGTCTCATCTTCTGCCCCAAAGCGGAGAACAGAGCACTCATATTCTGTACAGGAAGTTACCTTCACCATCGTAGAACTCGCTCCCAACTTGAACCACCTCCAGCGGTTTAGGGGAAGGGTTTGATAAGAGCTTTTCCAGCTCCTCGTCATCCAGGACCCTCACACCCTCCTCCTCTCCTGGGGTGATGTCCTGGCTGCTCTCGGAGATCTTGCCCAGACGTGGGGGGTCCTGAGTGGCCGGGACGCCCAGCCGGGCTGTGCCATGAGGAGCCAGAGTTCCTCTGGGAGAGGCCAAGAGGACCGCTGTTGCTTCCTGTCCTAAAGCCAAACTTGAGCCGCCTCTCTCAGCCTGCACCTCTCCCACCCCTGGGGTCAACATGGCTGCCGCCGTGGCTGGCACCTGGGCCAGCCTTGCATCTTGCTTGACGCTGCCCAGGAGAGACTGGCATCCCGTTCTGGCAAAGACCCTGCCATCTTGCTTCTGCTGCCTCTCTGGCGGAGGAATGAACTTACTCCTCAGCACCCTATGGATGACATCGGAGCTGACGCCAAACCCCTCAGCCAGCCGGCCCACTGTCCACTCCTCAGGAGTGTCACGGTTCAGGTACCTGCGAGGAAACAGGGAGTGAAACAGACCTGCTGCCAAACCTGTAGAGGGCTAGGATTCCAGGTGAGACAAGACAAGCTGCTGCTAAGCTCAGACACCAGTGGCTGTGATCATGGTGGAGAAGGCCACAGAAATTGCATTTCACAAATATATTTACATATGGACATGGGTGAAAAACTAGGAAGTTATTCAGCCCATCCTTCACGCAGTCATTAGTAGCTATATGATCTGAGGATATCATTCAGCCATTTCCAGAAAGACAGAGCACTTTCAACTTCAAAGACATGGCAGAGCTGGCTTGTTTGAGGCATTGACTCGTGTCCTTTTAAGACTAAATAATCACAGTCTTCAGTTTGTTTTAACAGCTAAAAAAGTACTGTGAGTTCATTACCTTAGAAACTGAAGCTCCACCGCATTCAGTAAATGTCAATCTACCTACTGCCCTCCATGGCTTGTTTTTCAAGTCTAATAACGAGTCACGCTCGATAGGCTACGGCAGACATGCAGGGAGTCTGCAGTGACAATTAGAACCTTAACGAGCCACTGTCACTTTAGACTTTTTCCAACACATCATGCTGCTATCTGCTGGATCTTAATTATCCAAAACAAAATCTTATTTCATATTTGAGTATATATTTTCTGCAATACATTTTATTGTACATGATTATACAGGCATTTCTATTGTTGTCCTGAATGTATATCTATTGTTTGTGTCTGAAAATACATCAAAGTTATACAATGCATTAGAAGGTTGACATGTCTGAAGGAGGCAGAATTGCAGTTTCTAAGGTATCTTGTTTTAGGTGTCAGCACAAAATGAAGATCTTGATTATTTTCTCTTAAAAGGACACATGCTGCCGTTGTGCAACAATGCACCCATTTTAAATTTAAAACTCATTTTTATGTAGGAATTAATATTTAATTTAAATTTATTTTGGATGTAACACAAATGCCGTAAATCTCGGGGATCCATGTCTCTGATCAGCCTAGACGGTGGAAAATCCAGCGGATCAGATCGTTAGTTATGGCAGTGTTTTCCTCCTGCCTTCCCTTCCTGCTGAGAAACGTGGCAGGGGGCTGCGGCAGACGCCTGCAGGGATCTGGCAGTCTGCTGAGGGTCCTGTGCACATGCTCACTGGCGCCCCCTCACCTGATCTGCTCCATGGCGTCCCAGGTCAGCCTCCTCTCTGGGGGGCCAGGTGGGGAGAACTGCTTTGCCAGCCTGCGGAGCTTCGTCGCCTTCCGTTTCCTCCGTTCGGCACTGCAGGAGACAGGAGTCCCTTCAGGTTTTACGGATGAATGTTGGAGACTGTGGAGCAGTACTGGGAACATACAGACAGAGGCCAGGACTCCACAGAGCAGCAGCCTGTTTAATCGCCAGCAGCCGTATCACCCTGCAACCCACAACTGGCAGCCCAGTGAGGCTCAGCAGGTGGGAGCCTGGTCAGTACCTGCATGGGAGACCTCCTGGGAAAAACTAAGGTTGCTGCTGGTAGAGGTGTAAGTGGGACCAGCAGGGGGCGCTCACCCTATTGCCCCAGTAGTGTGATGGGGACACTATACTGTAAAAAGGACACCGTCCTTTGGATGAGAGGTCCTGATTCTCTGTGGTTGTGTTTAGTTTGGCCTCCTAATAATCCCCATCTATGAACTAGCTTCATCACTCTGTTCTCCTCCCCACTGATAGCTGGTGTGTGGTAAGCATTATGGCGCACTATGGCTGCTGTCACATCATCCAGGTGGGACTGCACATTGGTGGAGGTGGAGGGGATCCCCATTACCTGTAAAGCGCTTTGAGTGGAGTATCCAGAAAAGTGCTGTATAAGTTTAATGAATTATTATTATGAATTGTCTGAATTGTATGAATTATGAATGCTGTCAGGGACACGGAGAAACTCAGTAATTGCTGCTGCAGGCAGCCAGGAAGATGCCTCTTAAAGGACAAGTAGGGAAACTTTCCTTCCTCCATTTAGACATACGATCAACCAGATATGATGAATTGCAACATCAGAACATCCATCCGTTTTCTGCCTGCTTCACCCAATCAAGTATCACAGGGAGGCCGGAGCCTGTCCAAGGCAGGGTACACCCTGGACAGGATGCCACTACATTGCAGGGCATGCACAAACACACACACTCACACCAGAGCCAATCTTCCCAGAAGCCACTTCGCCTTCCAGTATGTCTCGGGACTGTGGGATGAAACCAGGGCCCCCAGAGGAAACCCACAATAACATGGGGAGAACGTACGAACACTATGCAAATAGCACCCCAGGAACTGAACCCGGGCCCCAGCACTGCAAGACAACACTGCTCACCTCTGTGCAAGGCCGTGCAGAATGACTAACAGAATTACAACAGGTAAGGTTGCTAACGAGAGGAGGCTGCCTGGCCCGTGGCGCACGGGTGCGAAGGGGAAACAAGAGTGTGCCCTCTCACCTGACCACTTCTCCCGCCAGCTCCTCCAGGTCCTCTGGGCCATCCTCCAGGAACAGATCCAGCTCCCTTCTCCTCCGGTCAGGATTTGGGACCGGTTCCGCCCCCGACACCCTGCCGGCCCAAGACCGCTCCTGCCGGCTGGACTGCCCGAGACCAGGGGCCGGTTCTGGAAACCCAAAGGCTGGTGGAGCCCGTTTCAGCAGGACAGAGGCCGGGCCAGGCCTGCTGAGCCCCGTCAGGGAGGACACGGCCCTGAGAAACATGACGCCGCTGGACAGCTCCTGAAGTTACCAGCTTTATCGGAGAAGATGGTGCGACATTTCCCTTTAATTAAAACCCGCTGAAATTTTCCATTAAAATGTTTTTACACAGGAATTAGGATTTGTATTATTATTTTAGTTTTGAATGTTCATTATTTGTTATGGTTATAAAACTTTTTTCACCATGGTGTTTTCAGCAGCCTCTTTAGTAAAACGCTGGATTACGATGTTTTACAAAGAACTTTTGTTCTTACAAAGGTCCCTTTTCAGGCCATTAAGGCCCATGGGCCTTACTCATAGACTCATTTGGAAAGCAATCTGAGTGGACCTGGGAGCCGTCTGGAAGACAGAAATAATGTTCCCTAAAAGTAACGATCTACAAACTAGTTAACGTGCCAACGGCAACCAAATCCTGATTGCAAGGCAGCGCTGATCTCGCAAACATTTGTGTCATTGTAATATACTCTCTCTCCTCTTCGTTCATTTTAAGTTTAAACATGGAAATCGTGGTGTCCTCTGAGTAACTGGGTTGACCAAAATGTCATTTCTTCTGAAAGGGAGTTGATTACAGACACATCTTCATCAACAACAGTACCTGCTAGGATATCAGGGAGATCATAGGGTTTTCACAATTTTTCACTGACCAAAAACATAAACCTTAAATGTCTATTTTTACACCAATGCTAAAGAAGCTTTAAGTCGGGAAGCAAAACTTCATTTCGACAGCACCGCAGCAATAATACTCCGATATGTGTGTACTGACATTACAGGGCGAAAGCAGCTGTAACTAAAGCATAACTCTATTTTGCGTTATAAAGGGCCTATACCAGGTTTTTATAAATACATACCGTCTACGCAGTTGTTTAACATAAGAAAAGACGCCAAACGCACGTTTTCATCAGGAACGACGGTTGATTAACCCAGCCTTCACGGATAAATCGACCATTTACACTGTGCGATGTGCGACTGCCTTTCCTAGGCTTTGTGACGGGGAGGTGGGAGGAGCAAATTCAACATGGCGGACACCTCCAAACTGCCGCATCCATTTTGAGCACAGTACAGGCAATGACCCTTAATAGACCCACTTCACAAATGGAAAACCCCTAAGCAATCTAGAGGCTTTTTATCTGAAGAAGATATGGAGTGATCCAAAGAAGAATGGTTATAACTTGATTACGTTTTTTAAAAAAAATACTTTCCAAACGTACATCCACAAACTGGAGGTACTGATTATATTGCTTTACACTATATTCAGTATTCTTATTTTTTAAATGAAAAGCGTCTAATAAGAGGGATATCTGGTGGTTTTTGTGTTCATATTTCTTGCAAGGAAACTGAACAAAACTGTATTAACTTCATCCCTAACATGCACACACAACAAACATGAAACATCCAGATGGACTTCAAAACAAATAAGTGAGATAACGTTTTTCAATTGGATTGAGCTAAAAACTGATATGAACTGCATAGGTTGTGGCTAAAAAAATCAAATTCTAAGGTTTATTGATGTCACGGCCTATTTTAGGAGTACAGTGAGAGGTTCAGGTGTTTGGACTATAAATTAATACCGATATCCTAAAGCTTCAGTCTGTACTTGTATAATATATTCATACCAGCCTCCTCCCCCACGAGCCTGTTACAGCGCAGGTGCCTCGCTCGGCTCGCCGGCGGTAATGCGCCTGCGCAGCGGCCATGCCCTGCTCAGCGGCTGACAGTGCGCCTGCGCAGCTTCCGGGCAGGGGGGCGGGGAGACGAAGTTGTCCTATTTGTCGGTGCAGACCGCGCTGCGCCATTTTGTTCGCTCGCCGTAAGCTCGGTGATTGGGTTTCGGGGATCGGTACTGGAGCCAATCAGAGGGGAACCGGGGCGGCGGAGAAACGGTGAGAGAGAGCGCGGCTTGGAGGGGCTGGGAGCCGGCAGCAGGGGATTGGTGTGTCACTGACCAACCAAATTACTAACACCACAAAAATACAGGAATTAAAAATACCATAAAGACACCTAGCCGGAGACGCGCACAAATTGGCTTGAGATGGCGGATGGGGGGCGAAGGGCCCGTCCTGAAAAGGCTGCTGAAGCGGACCGTCAGCGGGACCCGTCTTTATTTCTCGGGGTCTGGCGTGTGGGGGGAAGAAAAGGCCCGGTTTTCTCCGGGCTGGGGCAGCCGGTTCCCACCACTGCCCGCCCCGCCGTGTGCAGCAGGGTTGCTGGGCTCCAGGCGACCTTCGCACGGTGTACTGCGCAAAGGCGCCTCTTAGAAGAAATAAAACACTTAAAATCTACCCACAGAGGACCGTGTTTCTAACTCCAGTAGGGGATGCAGTCGGCTAAAACTACGCATCTGTAAAAAGGAGAGGGTGTAGTGGGGACACAGAGTCGCCTTTGTCCTTACAGTGTGGGATAAAGCGCTCAGATCTGGGTTTTTATTAAGCAGAAAAGCCCAACGCGGACATAACAAGTAACCGTTGATGAAGGTGGAGATGAACCGCTGAACTAGCGGTACAATTATTGCTTCTTCGCTCGTTGATAAATGCTTTAGTTGACGATCTTATTCTCTTTAAAGAGAGGGGGTAACCCCTCGCCCCAGTTCAGAGACGGACCTTACGGATGATGTTTCCCAGTTCGGTAATGGGTTGGGATTGTAGGTTATATAACTGAATAAATATGAGATTTGTACCCATACGCGTAACAAACAGGGGGGTTTGAGTAATTGCTGCGCAGATACGACACAACACAATGTTTCTGGGTATTTTTTAAAGTCTTTAAAATAGTTCGTCAAAATTAAAATATCAGCCATCTTGGAAACCTATTAAGTCCCGGTTTTATGGACGTTTTCTGTTTTTGTTTTAAGTAATATGACGAGTCTTTGCAGGGTTCTGTGCTCTGCCAGCCCCGTCACAAGACGCCCTAAAACAACGGGTTGTAGCTGGACCTGCTCTATAAAATAAAGTTAAAGCCTTTAGGGCTCTTAATAGACGCTTAAATCCGTTTGGAACAGTTGTTTTCCAAAACATTATGGGAGACAAGTGAAAAAACGGTCCTGAACCGATACGAATTGAGACTCCACGCGTATTTGGTAGTGTAGCATTAGCAAAGCACTTAGAATCAGCTTTAAACAGCATTTGTGAATTTGTGAGCGTTTAAAAAATGTTTATATTATATTACATGGATTACAACCCCCGACTCGGGTCAGTTGGAAGCAGTAGCTCGACTGCACTCTGACGGGGGAAAATGGCGTCTACACCTCGAGCGCCTTTTCGTGTTAATCTAAGATTAAAATGTGATCTAAATATGACTTGAAAACAAAAGTTTGAGTGGGTTTGCCGAGGTTATCCTCCTTATAGTCGCTGGAGAGCAGATGCTTTCTTTGCATTTGCGTGCTCTTGTGTAACGATTGTGATTCAGCCTGCTACGAGGGCTTTGCACAACGCAGATTACCTGGGTGCACTCAGTTGGGGGTACCTAATGCACCCAGCGCATGTCGTTATACAGTCAACAGAACGGTGGACTCGCTTTAGGATGAACACGTGGCCTTCTCATAACAGAGGCACGATGCGGAGAATGTGCCAGGTCTTGTATAGCGCCGCCCGGGGCCTCTCTGCCTGGGAGAGAGAGAAACGGGGTTCGTCACAAACCCAGCTACCCCAGTCACACGGGTGTCCAGCTAAACTCCGCTCTCCATAATGCACAGTTGTCATTCTCTATTAGCACCTTTACACTGCTGTGTGTGTGCAAAGGAACAAGTAAAGGTTTATTCCAAGAAAAGAGGCAACGTTTCTGAAGAAGACTCCACACCCCACACGTTGTATATCTTTTCAGCATGGAACAAACCTTTACTTGTTCCTTTGTAGCCTACGCATGCTGACGCAGCTACCTACTTGAACATCTTCGCATATATATCATGTGTGTGTGACAAGAATGGGCAGCCCTGGTCCTGGTCTCCCAGTAAGTGGCGAGCCACAATCCAGCAGTCTTTATGGGTGACCCTTAAGACATCAATTTTAAAGCAGTTATGTTTTGAAAACTGAAGCAGGTGAAAATCCCAGCACTCTGGAAAAATAGCTTTGCCGTTCTTCACCAGACCTCCTGTGTGGGGCTGCTGGTGCAGAATTGCTTCCATTCTGAGTGAGTGGAGTGAATCCTCTCCTATATGTATGCATACATATTTACCATAAAGTGCTTTGTGAGCCTTTGATATGCAAGACACTATAAAATGGAAGGAAATATGGAATTATTGTTTAAAAATTATTGCTGTTTTTCTAACATTTATCTGGAGCCAGTTACATTTGTACCCGTTTATACAGGTCATAATATATAACCTTTCAGTAACGAGACCAGAACTGTCGCTGCTGCTGCGAAACATCTGCCCCTATGCCCAGCCCACAGCTCAGCATGTAATATGTTTTTATGTAAAAAGAACGGGCTAGTAATTTGTGTACTTTTGTCCACTTCTGTTAATGTTTTATGTTTCTACCAATTTCAAAAAGACCTATAAATTAACACAAAACCAACATCAGAAGGCATTAACAACATTGTACAGTTTTTACATAACCGGCTAACTGCTAGTTCCAAATTAGTTACCCATATGCCATTATTTCCCGGGAGGAGGCTGCTTTGTGAAAAAGTGGTTTCTGGTTTTCTGTGCATGACCTGGTGTTTCTTTGTGTTTCCCATGTCAGAATCGGATTGTTTTAAAGAGACCTGAAGGTGGACGGGGGCTTGGCAATGGAGCAGTACACCACCACCAGCAGTAGCAGTGGGGAGCAGATCGTGGTTCAGGCCGCTCCAGGGCAGATCCAGCAACAGGTATGGCAACTCTTGATTGGGAAAGGTACAATCACGCTGACCTGGATCTGACAGACTGCGGCTTCAGCTTGTGGTGGAATCGGAGATAAATAAGAGCCCTCAGTCCTATTTTGGTTTGAAGGTTTCTGGATACCAATTGGATTTCATTCCAGCTCAGATCTTAATGACCTAAAAAAGCTCACTATTGGCCTAGTTGGACCAATTCATCAACACCTCTCAGGTTTTTATAGTCCTAGAAAACCTGCAGACACACTGGCCCTCCAGCACTCAGAAGTACCCCAGGTGCTGTTCTAGCCATGGGTTTTCAGGTCAAGTAAAATTGTTTTTGAATGTAGAAAAATGTTGCTCTTAAACATGTTCTTAATTTATCTAAACAAAATTATGTTTTAAAGGTTGTGAATTATGTTTTTAATATATCCCTAACTTTTTTTCTGTCAGATGATCTATTTCACAGATAATTTATTCCCTTACCCTTTTCTAATTTTTGGCTTTTAAGTCTGTTCAAAAGCCCAGCCATCTTTCTCTTTTTAAACAGGCAAAAAATGTTTGTCTCTTAAGAATTTCAGGCACATTGGGGCTCTGTTGGCTCTTAACAAAAAAACGTTAATCAAACTCTTCTTGTATGTGTCACAGTTCATCTGTTTGGACCTTCTAGCGTGTGTGGCCTAGCTGAGAATACACTTCATCTCCTGTTTTTTTTTTCAGCAGAAAGGAAGGTGCAGGATAAACCATTTCACAAACTTTATAGAGCCCTGTTGTAAAAAATGGTGCAGGCTCAAGCCCTTCTTTGTCCGGTAGTTTAATCTTGTGCATCATGTATGACCTGATCCTTAAGGATGTGCTGAAAGCTGCTGATCATATCTTGGATGGATGCAGAGGTATCTTAGGGATAAATTGGACATCCCTGCTATATTAGGAAGCTCCGTTTTTATTGTTTTTATATACAGTCTGGCAGAGCCCCAGACTGTAGGATCCTTTATTTTGGTGGGCCAGTTCCTGGCCATGTGGGCGTGGACAGTGCCAGGAGGCAGCTGCGGGACACAGTGTGGTAATGTGCATTGTTTCCGGTCGCAGGGCACGGTGACCGCTGTCCAGCTGCAGACAGAAGCACAGGTGGCTTCGGCTTCGGCCCAGCCTGTGCAGACGCTCCAGGTAGTGGTGTGAAATCCAGCTGCGTCGTCGTCCGCCGTGCTGCATGACAACCCTGCCCGATGCTTCTTGCCTCTCGGGACTCTCTTAGCCATGTTCCTCTTCAAATCTGAGCCACGAGCTCTAAACTAGTTTCTACTTCCTGCAGACACTCTAGGAGGTTTGCTTTAAACAGAATCAGAAAGTCCAAACCCATACTTTCGCGTTCTTGCCAGTGGTATTTATTCTCAGTCAGGTTCAGGCAGTTTTCTTTTTTAATTGACTTACTAATACTTTGCATTGCAGAAGTGCTTTTCATCCTAGAGCATTTTAAGGGTAAAAGGGGCTTACATCATGATTCAGTTAAGTGCAGGACCATTAAGATGAGTTCATAGGCCATTTTAAGCATTTTACTTAACATTTATAAAGCTTTAGCGCCACTGGTTAAATCAAAGACCTGGACTGTTTAGATTATAAGACATCAAGAGAAGCAAAACAGCCAAGGAATGCCCAGCATGCTGTTGAATTATTGCACACTGCAGGACATACATACCACTCAGCGGACCTCAGGTTCCATAGAAATGGGAGGCAGGGCTGCACTCGTTTTATCTTGGCAGCTTCTGCACAACTTGGCTTGACTGTGCAGTGACCCCAACTGAGCCGCATCATTGGAGATCTGTCATCGCTCATTGAATGTTTTGCATTGTGACCTTTGGGCCATAAAGAAGCGTGCACCTGCATCATGACATTTGCCTGAGGAATCATGCAGTGACCTGTGTCAAAGAAGTATCCTGAAGAGCTTTGCTGTGCTAAATATTGAATATAAGCTTAACTAGATACCAACTTTGGCATAGAATCCCTGGCATCTCACAGCAGAGATCCTTGATTGACAGATAGAAATTGAATGTCTTTATTCTGTTGACACTCTTTGTATCCGGTGTTTAAGAAAGCTTAACAGACTCGCAGTTGGCAGTGAGAATATGCTAGGGCCACTGTTTATCAATTGTGGTCCAGGATTTACTGCAGGTTTTCTTAGGAGCCTTGAAAGTTCAGTCAGCGGAGGACTGGAAAATTAACATGAGCACCTGGCTTGCCCAGTTGAGGTCTTTAGAGTTCAGTTTGAGAAAATTGTAAGAGGACCCTTAGAATCTCCAAGACCAGGGCTTCAGACTCTGATCAAGACAAAGGAAGAAATAGGTAGGATAAAACGGTGCTGCATACCTAATAGATGGTTGGAGGATGTAGATGGAAGATCAGTAGTTTAGGAACACCTCATATTCAGCTAGGCATGCAAAAAATAAATGCTGCCTAGCAACTCCTATACACAGTATTAAATGTAGAGCACGCTGCATTATAGTGGGATAGAGGAGTGCAAGTCTTGAGAGTAGAATCCCAGGATATAGAACCCAGTGTCCTTCATCCAGTAGGGGAGTAATTGGGAGTTATATGTCTTCAGATTATTTAGCAAACTGCATTATTTGGAGGCAGCATGCTAGTGTCGCTGGACATTGCTGCCTTATATCTCCAACAGTTCTGATTTGAGCCCCAGGCACTTCTCTGGGTGGAGTTCGCTTGTTCTTGCCACGTTTGCATGGGATTTTTCCAGATGCGCCCCTGTGCCAAGATGTGCTAGATAAGTTGATGGAGTGTTATGAATTGCCCATCCATCCATGGACAAAGTGTTGCTAGGATAGGATTTGACTGATAACATGTGCGTGGATATATGTATATTTGGAGTAATAAAGGATAAAAAGGTAAAACACAACTTCGTTCATAGAACTAGTTGCACCGCTAACATGTGTGCTTGTACCAGTGGTCCCTCTTAACCTTGAATGTTTGACGACCTGTCATTCTTTTTAAAAAAAATGTCCACAGTTTGATCAGATGCGATGTTTTATAACGAAATAAGAAAAATTATCATGACTTGGTGAGGAACAGGATATACAGATAGTATTTTAAAAAAAGGTATATTTACAGGAGGTCCCATCCTGCATGTTTTGTATAAAAGGGACAACAGATGTGCATGGTTGTCCTGCTGTGTAAATATGTCAGGAAGATGTCAAAGCTGTGCTCCTGCCTGCTAGCAGCGCTCACTGTGCATAAGTGTATAATTGTTTTTTTCATCATTCTCATCTCAAGCTGTCTTTGCTGAGTCCATTGTGGACATTGCTCAGTAACTGTGCTGTCTGTGGCCTGAGGAGTAGATGAAGTCTACTTTTTTTTTTTGCTGTATCATGAATGCTGCATCATGCCACCTGATCAGTGCCACCCCACATCCCCTACACAGCGGTTTGTCAGTTTTAAATGCATGTGGCTCCACTGTTGTGCAGCGTGCACTGTATAACGCTCTGTATCCCTCCAGCTGATTCTTCAATGTGGTTGCGTCTCTTCCCTCTTCCCCGCAGGTTCAGGGTCAGCCGCTGATGGTGCAGGTGAGTGGCGGCCAGCTCATCACTTCTTCTGGCCAGCCAATCATGGTTCAGGCAGTCCCTGGAAGTCAGGGCCAGACCATCATGCAGGTGCCTGTCTCTGGAGCACAGGGTCTGCAGCAGGTGAGCAGTCTCTGTTTTAAACAGCACTTGTTCTCCTAATACAATTTTCTGGGAATAAGACTTAAGCCGCACATCAGTTTGATCTGTTTCTGGAATTGCAGATCACCAGTGCTGTGCTTTGGGGTTGAATATATAGATTTATATTTAAAAAAATCAATGAGAGCATTAAAAATCTAATGTGTTTTGTGTTTTGTTAATAGCCAGAGTACTCCACATTAGTGCTGTTCACCACTGGAATGTTTTATTTTTTCATTTAACATGAAGCAGGCATATATACAAGCAAGTTGTTCTCATGGCACTGAATTCCAAATCCCTTAAAGTTTGGAGATTCCCCCCTCTTACCCATTGGGTTAAATCAGTTCCAAACAAGCAGAAAACATTGAAGCGCACAACTGTTAAAACATTTGCACATAAAAATGCCTCTGCAAGTCTCAATAATTGTACATCACAGAACAGGAAACACATTTCAACCCAGCAGAGTTTCTCTGTGGCAGCAAGAATGGTTTTTCCTTTCCTTGAAAACATTGTTTTTATTATATTGAATCTAAAAATTACCTAAAAGGGTTTGGAAGACTTAGGAATCGCTTAATGAATAGACTGCAGACCCAGCTTGTGAGTGTGCTCATTTTGTTCTTGACTGTTGCCATCCTGCTGGAGAGCAGCCCGCGTTTTGCACGCCATCTTCAGCACCCAGCTTTGCAGTGAGGAGAAGGTGACCCTTGTATCCCCTTTGTCTGCGTGTGTTCAGATTCAGCTGGTGCAGCCGGGGCAGATTCAGATCCAGGGCGGACAGGCGGTCCAGGTGCAGGGGCAGCAGGGTCAGGCCCAGCAGATCATCATCCAGCAGCCGCAGACTGCCGTCACCGCAGGGCAGAGCCAGGTCAGGCACCGCCACAGCCACTGAGCTGCCTGTAGACATCCTGGTGCTTTATAATGAAGTCACGGCACTGCGGAAAATGGATCATTCCAATGTCTCGATTGGGTCTAAGAGGAGCAAAGTGAATCTCTAGTGACACCGTCTTAATTCTCCTGTTGTCATGATATAAGAAGTCATCTATCAAGTGAAAATCATTTGTGTTTACATGTGATAAAGCTTAAATGATGCAAAGCTGAAATGCAGTTCTTTCCCACACAATCAGTGCACTTTAGCAGCTGTGCTTCAGTATTAGTTGTCTCTCCTGCACAGAAAACAATCTGGTTAATTGTTTTTATCCCTCCCAGGCCAGGGCTTTGTCAGTTTGGAATACATCCTCAGTCAACTCAAACCATAAAGACAAAAAACTAACTTCTGTAGGAATGAAAAATGTTTGTGTCAGTGAAATTAAAACTGGCATGATTTATAATGGGGTCTGATAAAGCTGCTATTGCTTGTAATGGAATTAAAACAGTTTTGTCTCTTTTATGGGGGGAAAAAAAACATCTCGAACTTTATTCCCCTGCTAGCACCTTATTTGACCTTGTAATTAGCACAGCTGCTTCCCAGTTTGGTGAGAGAATTTAGGGGAAACACAAGCAAATATCTGTAGCTGCACTTGTGACCCAGACTCACTCAATAAAACCTAGAATTACCTAGAGGGAATTAAATATTTGACATCTTCAGAGACCATCATGGGGTATGAGTTCATTCCTGCCTTGTACTTTCAGGGGCAGCAGCAGATTACAGTGCAGGGCCAACAGGTGGCTCAGACTGCAGAAGGCCAGACGATTGTATACCAGCCGGTCAACGCTGATGGCACCATCCTTCAACAAGGTACAGTACTCAGCACACTGCTGCCCATAGAGCTTGAGCTGCACTCCTTTATAATACAAACTCAGAAGTATAGGTGAGGCAAGACACGTAAACGCTTTAACGTAAAAGGTTGCTGAAAAATTACTTCAAGAGATCTCAAGTCATTAAAAGCTATAAAGCACATTAAATTACCAGTTGTTCTTGCAGCGGTGTTTGACTGTTGTCAGTGCTGTAAACTTCACTGCATGTTAGTCATTGTGCACTCGTATGTGTTGGGAGCTTAAAGTTTTAGCACACCCATAAATGGAAATGTGACATTTGGAAAAACCATTTCATGCTACATTCCTGACATACACACAAGCTCTCCCCGCTTGCAAACCCATACTGATGTTTTTTAATGGATTGACCTCTTTGACCAGGTAACTTCCAGTTGTTTTAACAAGGAAACACTATTTGATGTTTGTGTACACAAAAAGCTGCAGAAATGTTCTTATTATCTTGTGTAACTTGCAGTTAATAGGAATTTGCATGCAGCAGAATTCAGTGCTGCAGTTGTATTGTAAGTGGCGTTCAAAAGAAAGTTTAGTACAGGACTGGGTGTGTTGGGTGCCACAGTAGTTAGCATTGCTGCTACACAGCGCTGGGGCTGTGGGTTCTATTTTGAGTTTGTATGCTCTCCCGTGTTCGTGTGGGTTTTCTCTGGTCACTCTGGTTTCCTCACACAGTCCAAAAACAGACTGATTTTTAATTGGCTTCTGGGAAATTTGACCGTGACAGGTTTTTGAGTCTGTCTGCCCTAGAATGGACTGGCGCCTTGTTCCTGTTGCTGTGGCCCTTACCCATGACCCTGAATCGGATGAAGTGGTTAGAAAAAGAATGATTGGCTACAGCCATGCTAAATAGTGTGACAATCAGAGAGGGGAGGGGGCAGGAGCAAACTGACGGGTTTGCTGGTTTCACAGCAAGCAGGTGAGCTTTGCAGAGTTATCTGAACCTGGAGAGAGGTGGTGTGAATATCATTCCACCAGCTCAAGCTATTCGGGAGGTTACATTTGTTGTTGTAGCCAGGTTGCAAGCACACACTTTTTCACTCTTTACATGTGGGTGATGTTGTGTGTAAAGTGACACTAGCACTGTAATACTCTTCTGATCAGAGTGGCAGGTGTGTCTTGTGCCTGTACTGAAATAAGTGTCCACCCCCTCCCCCCTTCTTTTTTTCCTCCCTTTTTTCAAGGAATGATCACGATTCCGGCCGCCAGTCTTGCTGGGGCCCAGATAGTCCAGACGGGAGCTAACACCAGTACCACCAGCAGTGGGCAGGGCACCGTGACCGTCACCCTACCAGTGTCGGGAAACATGGTGAATGCTGGCGGCATGGTCATGGTAAGCCTCAGTTCGAGGAGACCCCAGTTAAGACATGTCTTTTTGCATATGTATCCAAACACAAGTGTCCTAGCATGTCGCAGTTGTTGTACTGTTGTGCTGCGCAATAACACCGGTTAAAGATGTTGCAGAACTGGAATGCCTTGGTTACGGTAATGAATTGCGAAACAGTGAGAGCAAACTGGTTTAGTTGCCTTGGCAAAACAAGGGATATCCCAAGAATCACCAGAATCTGAAAAAAGCCCAGCAGGACTGTTTGTCGCAGACCTTGCTGTCGGTGTTGAAACGGAGCCAAGGGGATGAAAGGCCCTGTGCAAGAATGCTGCTGCACCTCCTGTTGCACGACCTTTTGCAGCGTCTGCATCCTGAACGTTTCTGTCCAGCGTGCTTGTTGATACGCCCGTGTGTGTCTGTCAGATGGTGCCTGGCAGTGGTGCGGTGCCTACCATGCAGAGGATCCCACTGCCCGGGGCAGAGATGTTGGAAGAGGAGCCCCTGTACGTCAATGCCAAGCAGTACCACCGCATCCTGAAGAGGCGGCAAGCCCGTGCCAAGCTGGAGGCCGAGGGCAAGATCCCCAAGGAGAGGAGGGTAAGACCTCCCGTGACACTGCCTCCTGTCACCACGTCTCTGGTGACAGGGCTGTGGTCTGCATCAGAGCTGGGTTGGAACATGACACCCTGTGCTACTGGGCCACCCAGAGTTTCTAGGTTGAGTGAAAGCCATTTTACCAAGAATGCAAACCTAAAACTATAAATACATTTAGGACACACTTTTTTTTATTGTGTAGGGGCATTGCATATAATGTATTTGTAACAGTTGTTTAGAAGCTACTGAACAGCAGTTCTTCAGCTTCTGTTAACACTTAAATCATTTGCAGTGACCAGGTGCATCCAGTGAATTGTTTTAAAGTAAGTTTGGTGACCTGAATGAAGATGTGAGACTGAATGACCCCTCTGTGTTCTTAAACTGGCAACACCAAGCACATATTATATTCAAGTAACTGCCTATCACAAAGTGCCTGCAGTTGCAGTATTGCTCCACTAATCGGTGCTATTGGGTAACAGGATATGTAATAGAGTGCCTGTGCAGAAAGAGTGCTATTTCAGACCTTTGCGATCCAGATACATCTCTGTGTTCTCGGTTGCTTTGTCTGTCCTGGTTTTAAGGCTTTGCAAGGTTCACAATTAAAATGACTTTTTTTAATGCACATATAATTCTAAGTCTAGAAATCTCTAAAATAGTTTTAGGTTACAAAAGCACTATAAAACAGAATATGTTGCCTTTATATTAATTTGTTTTAGCTTTTTAAGTGCATGTTGATAATCTATCATTCAGTTCAGATAAATAAGGGAAACATTGGTGGAATGTGTAGTTAAGTGTAGAATTTAAAGTAATGTTATATACAGTACATAATGTGCAACTCCCTAGTAAGATCTCATTTAGAGTATTGTACATAGGGTCACCACTTTTAAAAAAAGACATCAGTGCTCTGGAACCAGCCAGACATCACACATTTTCTAGTGCTTAAATGAATATGTAAATGTGACAATTTATAATTTAGGGTAAGCAATTTATCCCCTTTATTTAATAGCTAATTGTCATTGAAATATTTTAGAAAGAAGCCAAGGTATCACTTTTATCAATATAGCAGGATATTTTGAAAAAGATTTAGGTTCAGGAAAAATAAAAAAGACTTAGGTTCAGTCTCAGAACTGGGCATCTTCAGAATCAATAGTAAAATACAAATGTCACTTTACACAAAGGTTTGTGGGGGTCTTAATTTAGCTTCTGAGCCATGTTGTTGAATCCTGACTTCTTTCAAGAATCAGCTGGATATATCTTTGTCACTTAGCTACTAGCAGGCATTCAAGCCAGATGGTCCCATAGTTTCCACTAATTCTTATGTCCTGAATTATTAATTCCTCTGAACTTTCCTGACTCTGTCCTGCAGAAATATCTTCATGAGTCACGACATCGCCACGCCATGCAGCGTAAGAGGGGCGATGGGGGCCGGTTCTTCTCTCCCAAGGAGAAGGAGGAAATGGTGTTACAGGTGAGGATGATGTGCAGGAGATGAGTGGTAGTTTTTTTAAGGCACAGTGCCTTTCAGTGGTAAGATATGGATCTCACTGTGTGTTTCATATTTAAAAAATGGCACTGTTTGAAAATGTGTCTGTTTCAGGCTAAATTTAATTTTGATACAATACATGGTGTTACTGTTTCATACTAACAAAATAATTTACAAAATGTGTAAATGTCCATAAGTTTGAAATTGTGGCCCCAAGTGCTGCGTCAGTCAATCACTGAAATGTCAGGACAGTAAATGACTTAATTTACGAACATGTACCAGTTAATTCCACATATTTTGAAGTATTTCTTAAAATATGTAAATGTCTAGAGAATATCAAGTCTGTTTTTCCTTATTTGTTTAGTTTGAACTGACATTGCAGCCTACTCTTTGTTTCTGTCCTGTCTTGGTTTGGTGGTATGTCAGGCTGCTTTGTTGACCAGTTCACTGCTGAAGTCAGTCTGGGCTTGGGCTTAAGTCCTGTGTCCTGCTAAGGAAGTGGCTGCAGTTCCCAGCCTTCAGAACTGTCCATCCAAATCAGTGTATCCTAATTCATAACTAGGACGTTGATTGTTCTCACACTTTTTGAAGAATGAATTAACAACATTGGTTAAATTACATGTAAATTTCTTGGAAAAGGGGGAACAGGTGTGCAGTTGAAGAGAACAAAAATATAACTAGAGTAAAAACTAATTCATTTTCAGGTTTTTTTAACCCTTTATTAACATTGTTTGATTCATTTTCTCTGGCACAACTCTCTATAGAAGATCAGGTTCATACTGCCAAATCCTTCTAAATTTGAAATCAGTAATTTAGGCTGGACACAAATTTACGTACAGCAGTGAATTGGTTAACCATGCATGTTAAGACACTTATAACTGCATTCGTGCTTTTGTACTTTTAACTGCAGTGTTATTAGTTGTTTTGGTTTGCCTTAGTGTTATCTCTCTTTCCTTGCCATGTTTGCTGATGCTCTTGTGCAGTCCCTAATGCTGTGTTCATTTAACAGATGCATGGGTAGGATAGAACAGATGGTTATTAAGGTACAGTATTTCTGATTTTTCCTCTATTAAAAATGCAGATTTTACTAAAAATTGTGGTAGAATAATATTAAAGACCTTCTCTGCAGGAGGGCAATAGTGTGAAATAAAAAAATCTATATTGGTGATGCTGAACTGAATGAGTTTGCAGGATTGCTGTATAACATCTAAGATCAATTCAAAACATGAATCTATCTGCCTGTCACAAATTAGTGAGTTTGTTAGGCATTTGTGTTCCTGTACAGTGCAGGGTTTGCAGATTTCTAATTTTAGAGTTAAATCAAATCCCAGCTGAAGGAAAAGCTGACCTGGGTTTATTTGCCCGATGAGGCACTCTGTAACATTGGGCTGAGATTGCCCAAGCTGAGATCTGTCTCAAGAGTTTTGGTTGTTTGGCAATCCCTAGTTTTCAGGTTTGCTAATTAAGATGTAAAAGATGGTCTTTTCAGTCCTTCACTCATTTCAGTCCTTCAGGTTGAAGTGGGTTGCACAAAGATTTAGAGAGAAAAAGGGGGCTGTGAAGAAGAATTTGGACACTACTTTAGAAGATTTGGATGCAGTGTTTTTGCTTTATTGCCTGCTTGAGCATTTTGCCTTCAGCAGCTTGTGTTCATTTTCATTCATTTTCACATGTACATGTTCCTGCCATTGCTTCACCTCAAAATGCTTGCCATCTCTCACTGTTTTTGACACATTTGGGTCCACACTGTTTACTTATGGAGACACTGCTCAAATAAAATTAATATAATTAGAAGCATACATCTTTAAATGTGCTTTTAGTAAAAAAAACAGTTCTGAATTATTACTTTTTGTATCTAAAGATAGTGTGGTTCTGGATCAGTCCTAAACAGGATATAATGCTTGATGCTTTCAATACCCTCTTAATGTGTTGCTTGGAGTGATGCCTCTTCCAGAAGGTTTGGTTACAGTAAACCTTTTTCATTTGGGGCCAAAACATACAAACTATTCTGGAAGAAGAGATCTCTCTAGGTAAAAGGATGCTTGAAGTTGCCACACAGGACACTCAGAGCTCCAAGTTCTCTACATATAAAGTGCATGTAGACGTGCACACATTTGTGTTTATGTGAATACCAACTCGCTGTTCCTCACAACACCTGTTTCTCAGGGATTGGTATCCTTATGGGGGCATTTTCTCAAAATGAGGTCCTTACAGATGTAGAAGTGTTTGTCTTTGCGCTCAGATGTGTATAGAGTGCTGAACTGAGCTTTAACTCCACTCCGCTTCCTTCTCCTTCTCTCTACAGCCCCAGCCAGAGCAGGCTCAATCTGGCGAAGAGGCAGTGGGCCAGATGATCCGAGTGTCGTAACGCAAGGCTCTTCGTGCGGGAGCTGCCAGCCAGGGTGCAGGATCCTGATTCTTAAACCAGTGCTTCTCAATCTGTCTGCCTTCCATCCTCCCTAAAAAGTAGCCTGATGCCTACCATGGCTCCTGTGAAAACAGACGGCGCAACCCCCTCCCTCCCAGCAACTGAGACTTGGTAATCAGGGGGGCAATGCTTCATGTTGAGCACAAACTTTTCTCAATTTCAGGTCGGTCTTTATTCTTCAGATTGAAAAGCATTGCTTTAAGTTGTCTTTTGTTCGGCACTGCTCTTATATGGGCACTTTGTTAACTGCTCTGGAAGAGCAACTCTTTTTTTGTATAGAACTGATGCAATAAGCACTTGGGTACCTTTGCAATTTCAGCATTTATCCACACTGGCTAAGGCCTTGGTGTTACTGTGAGGGATTGTGATGTTGTAATGTTCCATATCTGTAAACTGTGTTTCATGGATGCTGAATGTGGGGGAGATCAGTGTACATAGCCATAGAGATATGCAGAATTGTGACAGCTAGTTGTGACTCTTAAGCTACAGCCAGAGCACATTAGAGGGATTTTTTATGCATTGCGATGCTGGTTTTCCAAAGCAGTTAACAAACCATTTGATATTGTGTAGCATATTGATAAAAAATCTCAGTGACCTTTAGTGGGTGATATTAATGGAGTTTGAGGGTTTGTGTTTGTGTAAATGTGGGGTAAGAGGGAGGGGGGTGTCAGAGTCTTTTAAAATTTTAACAAACGTACAATAGACGGAACAGTCTGGCAATTTAGTCTTAGTGCTAAACTGGGCTTGGGTACTAGGTATAAATCTGGAAAAGTGTTAAGCAAGGAGTAAATCATTGGGCTGGACCGGTGCAGCAAGTCCCCAGGTTAAATGAGATGGAGTTTACCAGATTGTACAGAACAACGTATTAATGCCATACTTCAGAAAGACTGCTGTGGACTAGTAAAAGCTGGAGGAATCCTTCAACTTACATATTAGTGTTTATTACTTTAGTTTTGTCCGTCTTTTCAGTTAATTAAAGTTTTTTCAAGAGAGATAACCACAGCTCTTCAAATTAAGAAGGAGCAAGGAGCCTCTTTATTTAGAACGTCATAATTTTCAGGAGTGTTTTTAAGGAAAATCTCTTGAAATTGATGCTTACCTGTTTGTAACACTGAAGGTCCACTAGGACATGGAGCAAGGTCTTGCACTGTGCCCTGTGAGCTTGAAAAAGTGCACCATTTCATTGTTTAAATCTCATTAGTTTGGAGGTGCTAGCTTTTATAAATAGGTAAAAATATATTGGTTAACTGTTCGTTTGATTATTTCCATTATATTGGTCCCAATTCTCCAGTTCTTTTCGGAGGTAATGTCATACTAAACCTTTATAAATTCCCAGTTTTGTATTTTAATACAAAAGTGATACTGACAGTACTGCGTGGTAGATGATTGTTGTCATATTGGTGCCGTACTGTTGTATTGTTTTCTAAAAAACTATTGCAGAGCTTGAAGTGAAGACACAGAAGGCCTCTAACCGACTAAATATTATGTCAGTTCTGCATCAGTGATATTTGATATTAACTTTCATATAAAATGGTACAGGTAATTGGATTCTGGAATAAAATGTATTTTGTGATTATGGGTCAAGTTGTAGAATAGTGCATCTTTGTACAATGTAATTTCTGTTTACTTTTATTTTTACATGTATAATTCTTCTAGGATTGTTAGTTATTGTTGTGCCTTCTGCCTTTGTCTTGTTTTAGTCCCTGGACACAGGAAATGGTAGTGTTTGGCATGATAGAATTTGTTTTATTTCGTTGAGCATAATATAAAATAGCTTAGACCAGTCAGGTACAATTCTTTTTATATTTGTATTCCAAGGAATTAAATAAGTAAACTTCAGTTTTTCCCTTTCCAGGAGACCAATGCTAAGATGTAAGTGGTAAGGAGTACAAAAACTGCACCATGTGTCTAAACTTAATGCTGCACCAACACAACTGAGCAACCTTTCTGTAGTAGAAGCTTGTGACACCACTCTACCACTGTACACACACGCCTCCCTCTCTACTGGAGAGGCAGTATTGTGCTATGTTACTGGTTCTGTGCCAGCTGGCTGTTACACTGTGCTAACCCCATGAGCAACTCATTTTAATCCATTTTCAGGGCAGTGATGATGTGTGTGAATAATGACTGAAGCTGGGAACAGTTTGGAGAGTACTGTTTGCACAGTTATCTGGTCTGTTCCCAGCAGGAACATTTCAAAGGTGGAGATATAGATACATTTCTCTCCATGGTTGATTTATTTAACCTTAGTTCACATAAAACACAAGATTATATAACGTCAAGCAATAAAACTGAAGATGCTTTAATCTACCTTTTTTAAAACCGCAATCTTATGCTGCTTTTCAGGAATAGGATAAACTGAAGTAAAGGAATTTTGCTTGGTCCCATCAGAAACATTTTTTTTTCACCACATGGTTCATACTTTTAGATCTATGTGGGATATGCAGACTTTTAGGGATAAAAATCATGTGAATAGTGTTTTGTTAAAATACATGTAGTCCTATGGATTAGCAATATTTCAAGGACTTTTGCATGTAGACCATTTTTACTTTTCTTGACAATGTGTAAAGACAATTTGGCATTTTGTGTGTTGGGGAAAGGGGTTTGTACATAAAAACATTTTTGTATGTATATTGCAATGTTTTTCATGCATGAAAAGTCCCTGAAAAAACTATGCTGTTTAGGAAAAGTACTGTGTACACCTTGCAGCTAATAAACTATTGTACTTTTATTTTACACGCAGTGTTTATTATTCTGTAAATGTAAAGAAAAGACTGTAAATATAAGGGGCTTGTTTGGGGGAAAAAAAAGAAAGAAAACTTGTAGAAACATGGAAGTGTCCAGACATGATCAACTAACGCTAAACAAAAACTTTTGATGAATTTGAAACACACCTTTAAACGATAAAAAGAGTTGACCATGTGAATAGGATCTAAGTTCTGTTTTGGACTTTGAAACAAAGAATGGTGAATTAGTTCTGAAAATGAACTCGGGATTCTGTAGCTTCTTTAAACAAAGGATTATAGGAGTCCCAAAACAACTGACTGGGCTGTTTTATTGAAGCGGATATGCCAACTTCTGAACAACTCTGGAGGGAGGCAGTAGTAGTAATTATTGGGACTATGGAGTGTAGCTGCGTCCTCGCCAATGTTTGGTAGTGGCCCCATTCTTAGAAACGGTAAGGTACAGAACAGCAGTCCTACAGCAGGGGTTGCTGGGTAGTTGCAGTGGAGACGGGTTACCTTTCAAAATCCATCACTAATGAGAGCAAGCTGCAGCCAGCCAGCATGGGGACCCCGGGGGAAATTTAACATAGTTTAAAATGGAATCTCTGCTTTATGAGGTCTTGGCCCCTTCTGGTAGCCCAGTGTACTGGATCTAAAATAAGAAGCTCAGCATTGTGCAAGTGCCAAGACTTGAGAAATCTGTGAAGCAATCTCAAAACCCACCAGTTCAGTGTCTGGTTTATTTTTTAGGACAAAAATGAAGAGGAGTTAATCCTTATTATTGGATGGGGTTATTGTCAGCAATGGGGCTGAGGAAATACCGGTAAGTTGAGTTGAGTTTGTGGGGGAGCTCCGCACCCAATTCCTGTTCACCATCATTGCATACAAAGATGTCCCATGCATGCATTCTGCATGAGGGAGGTCATTGCAATATGACACAAATTATTTTCTGTATCATTATAAACACCCTTCAGCAGTGGAGACCAATGTCTCTTAGAGACTCATGTTACAATTGAGCCCATGGTCTTGTAACTAAGCAAATGCGTAGATTTAACTGTAACAGTTAAACATTACCTGGATTTCTCTGGAATGAATGGGCGGCAGTGCCGGAGCCTTGGGTTCAATTCCATACCTGAGGTGCAATCTACCTGGAGTTTGTATGTTCTCCCTGTGTTTGCATTTAAGTTTCCTCCCAAAGTCCAAATACATACGGGTTGGTCAATCGGCTTCTGGGAAAACTATCCATGATGCAAGTGTGATTGTGTCTGTCCTGCAAGGGGCTGGTGTCCTGTGCAGGGTATACCCCCCTGTGCCGGTTGTTGGGATTGGCTCCAGCTCCCCTGCAAATCTGTACTGGATGAAGAGGCTGAACTGGAGAAGTAGTCTGAAACCTGCAGCTTCTAGGGAGAAAAAAACAAGTCTTGTCAATCACATTCATAGTTCAATTAAGTGAAATAAGTGTAACTGGAATGAAAACTAGCAACTTCTGGCGCAGTGAGGACCACCGGAGGAAAGAATATTCTGCTTGGTGCTCAGTCAGACCCAGCGCCACGGGGGGGCAAAAGGGGGCATCGCCCCCTCAACTGAACTGTCCCGCCACCTCAGTTGTGGACAAACGGATTTTTGTACACTTTCGCTTACTTAACTTGCGCCCTAAAAAATAGTTGGTCAGATAACTACACTAACCCCGAATTCACAGTTACTACATCGTACTGTATGATGTGCAGGAGGGCTGTCCGTCCAGGAACGGCACATATTACATAGTGTCAACATTACGATCTTGTTTGCCCAGGGGGACCGATTTCTTGCAGGAGTTTATCCTTACACTTACAATCGCTATATAACCAGGACTGTAGTTGTAGAAGTTTGTGCTTTCTGTTGGTTTTACAACTATTTTTTCTTAACGATTCAGAACCTCGTAACCGTCGATGTAGCTGCAAAACTGAGCTCATATGGTCTTTTGTCGGCTCCAGACCATAGTAACCGCGAGAGTGCTGATGAACGTGAAACTGTACATCATCGCTAAATACCAGATTGTTCGTCATGTCTTCTATCATGAAGCACTAATCAGTGGCATGGTTGCAAGATTTCACTTGGGTAGTTGCAAGGGCTCCGTTTCAACCAAAATATCACCGCCCCCCTACAGATTTTCCCCTGGCGCCGGCCATGTGTGCAGTTTCAAAATCTTCATACATCATGTTCCTTAATTATCATTGATCCTACCAATTATCAATTACAGAATTAAGGGGCGTGTTCGAACAGAATTGTGCTGTGTAGAATTGAACAGTCCGCTAGTGGAATAAGCCCTAACTGAAGTGTTGACCGTTTATGAAAAAGTTAAAACAGCAGTATTGGGCTGGGTTTTTCAAGAGTAACGAGTCTGTCATTGTACAGTAGACGTGGTATTTGGGTTAGGTAGTCCTTCCGCAGCTGGAGAGCGCTTGGTTACACACGTGTAATGCTGGATGGTGGCTGTCACGCACGACTGAGAAATTAGACTCTGAAGCAGGGGCGTAGCCAGGAATTGATTTTTGGGTGGGCCTCTGCAAAAGTGGGTGGCCCTGGGCTCTAACTGTCCGGCCTGCCAGCATAGGGGCACCCCTCCAATTTACAATGCAATCGAGCGGTATAATCAAACAGCAGAATTAGCGGAACCTTATATATACATACCGTCTCTCTCTCACCACACAGGTTTAGCAACAATTACCTAGGCTGCCGAACGCTACTGTGTCACGGCGGACACACACAAACAGTCAGTGCCTACTTCTGTTGTGAGGTTTTGACTTTCTAGACCAGACGCAGGCGTCAGGGCTTGGAATTGAGTATGGCGATAATCTCGTCGCTGTCTCTAGAGTCGGCAAATTCCCGTTCAAATGACAGCTAGTTTGCAAAGGTCTCTCATATGAGGACTTTGTCTTTAGCTAAAGAAAAGCTGCATGAGCTAATTTTCACTTGTTGCTTGCTTCCTGTGTCTGCTTTTAGATTGTTGAGTAGTTTTACAAGCTACTCTGAAGTTAATATTTTACTGCAAAACACTATGAGCACAACAAAACGCAAGATTCAAATTCCGCCTGAAATATTGTATTTAAAATACCATGCAGGGTTTACCTTGAGCTCCGTGAAGGTGCCCCCCCCCCCATACAGACGGCACAAACGCTGAAACCCACCTTATTCGTTAGTGATACGTTTGTGCCGGTTTGTGCCGTTGAAAGTAGCGTTTGTGCTGCTTTCGTTCCCGAGATATAGCGCCTTGTTCGTCCTGTGATCGCGTGACCATGCACGTTGACTTTGACCTCCAGTGACTCCGTCTGCCGAGTTCAAGCGCTCTGATAGAGTTTAGCTCGTACCCTTAACATTCAATATCCATAAACATAAACAGATGTGAATAATACGAAGACATGACGCATGCCAACAAGTAACCATCTATGACATAAACCTGTGGTTGTAATGTACGTAAAATCACCGTGATTGCAAGATCTATGGTTTTTATTTTGTAAGGCACATTTTCCTTTTCTTTTCCTATCGTGACACACTGTTGCCAAACGCGTAACTGTGTTTGATACCATTGCGACAAGACTTCCGCAGCACGTCATGATAGGGACCCCATATATATCGCATGTATATCGCGGCGCGGCAGTGTATATCACGGCTGGCGCCTTGCTTCCATGTAGGGGGAAACACCGCTGTCACAACAAAGGTCTCATATCACGACATCATTTACCCAGATAGGACGTGTCGCGAGATATAATGATCATAGACTTTACATTTCTATTCATTTTTGAAGTACAAAGCAGAAGGTGTTTCCCCCTACCTTAAATATACGATTAAAATTGTCCCAATATCATGTATTCATTACAGAAAGCAGCATCGACAGTTATATCGCAAATAAAAAAATGTATTTATTTAGAAGAGTACGTGACATTGTGAATCAATAAAGAAGTTAAAAAAATAAGCCGATGTAGTTATTTTGTAAATAAGTAAAGCATTTTAAAAATAGATTCTCATTGACAGTAAACAAGCCGATCCACCTGGCGCTGCTAGCTCGAACAGACCCGTGATTGGCTAAATCCCCGAACAGCTCGGACCGCGATTGGATGAAAAACAGAATTCTGACACTCTGATTGGGTAAAGAGTCACAGCGGAAGTTCCGAGAACATGTAGAGACATGGGCGATGGATGTTCTTCTTGGTAAAAATACTGTAGCCCCGGTTAATCGTGTGTGCTGTATGAGCACGCTGGATATACAGTAGCACATCCATTGGTTTCCAATTACTAATCAATCAAGAGAAGTCGCACTGAGGTAAAAACTGAATAGCAGACAACGAATGTCATGGCATCCGCAGCGCGTTCACGACTCCGATAGCAGGTCACGATAAGAGTGCACGCATCACGAGCACATCGCGATACCCATTGCGACTGGCGTATCACTGTCATGGCGCCACTGTTGCCACATTAAGTCCATATATCGCGATATAACATACCGCGACAAAACGACCCCGCCCCCATGTCGCGACATGAAGCCTGCATATCGCGATATGACATACCCCGGCAAACATGCCCCGCCCCCATGTCGCGACATGAAGCCCGCATATCGCGATATGACATACCCCGGCAAAATGCCCCGCCCTCATGTCGCGACATGAAGCCTGCATATCGCGATATGACATACCCCGGCAAAAATACCCCCCCCCCATGTCGCGACATGGAGTTCATATATGGTGATATGTAAAAAAATTATTATTATTATTATCATTATTATTAAAAAACCTGCCATGCCCATGTTGTGACATGAAGCCCATATATCGCGATATGACATACCGTGACAAAATGCACCACCCCCATGTCGCGACATGGAGTCCATATGTTGCGATGGGATATACCCTGACAGGATTGCTGACCCCCTGTCTATATCGCGACACATCTTATCTGGGTATATCATGTCCTGATATGAGACCTTTGTTGCGACAGCGGTGCCAGGGTGGCATGGAAGCAAGGCACCAGTCGTGATATACACTGCCGCGCCGCGATATACATGCGATATACATGGGGTCCCTATCATGACGTGCTGCGGAGGTCTTGTCGCGATGGTATCAAACACAGTTACGCGTTTGGCAACAGTGTGTCACGATAGGAAAAGAAAAGGAAAATGTGCCTTACAAAATAAAAACCATAGATCTTGCAATCACGGTGATTTTACGTACATTACAACCACAGGTTTATGTCATAGATGGTTACTTGTTGGCATGCGTCATGTCTTCGTATTATTCACATCTAAGGAGACTTATATGCTTATGGATATTGATTGTTATTAAAATGTTAAGGGTACTAGCAAAACTGTAAAAGAGCGCTTGAACTCGGCAAACGGGGTCACTGGAGGTCAAAGTCACCGTGCATGGTCACGTGATCACCGGAAACCCAAGGCGCTATATGTCGGGAACGAAAGCAGGAAACGTAGCACTAACGAATGAGACCGGTTTGGTTTCCATACGACATTGAAGGGGTGCTGAGTGACGTCACGACCCCCAAACAAACAAGGTGCTATATCTCGGAAACAAAAGCAGCACAAACGCTACTTTTAACGCCACAAACGTAGCACTAACGAATGAGGTGGGTTTCATCATTTCTGCTGTCTCTAGGGGGGGCAACTTCCCGGAGCTTTTACCTTGTCTTTAAATATTGAGCGGACTTGAGCATAACATACCAGAAGAACGTGCACACACGTTTCAGAGGTTGGAGTAAATGCATCAGAGGGTAATATCGAGCGAGGAGCCATGAGAAGAAAAACTGCGAAGCTATTAAAATATTAAGTTCTGAAGATCTTGTTTGATCCTTCATGATGCTTTTAAACTTGTATGAAACCCACATTAGTATTCTATTTTCGATGCCAAAAGACACCTAATTTGGATATTCGTGACTTCCCACAAGACTTAACACCGAATTGTTATAGTCGCATTACAGTGCTAACCAATTAATCGTACCTTTAATTGCAAGAAAGGTCTGCTAATAAAAGCGTCAAATACATACTTTATATGTATTTTAGCTATGTAAACGTCGTTCACGTAAAAATACTGCAGGGCATTTAGAGGTGATCCGAATAGTTATCTGTAAAATGCACAATCGCACCCATCCGTCAATATTTTCTTAATGTTAGGCATTCATTCCAAAACTTATCATTTGTTTACAGGAGAAATTTTAAAACCTCTCCGTGCTTAACTCCTACAGGTCGAGCATGTATCGAGCTGCTACAAGCAAACGCGTGCTCTTGCGTTCCAGAAACACTTGTATTCGGGAAGCCAGGCTGTTCTCCCTAAAACCCAAGATGCCTGTAGCATCTCATGTGTCTTTATTTGTTTCGGGACTGGTCTGGTTATCTACAGGCGGCTTTTTGAAAAACCTAGATATATGCATTTGTTTTGCCATGTTGGCTAATAAATAGAAACCTAGCGCTAGATAGTCTGGCGAGTGTCTGACAACAGCGATAGACAATTAGGCTACGGCTACACATGCACCGCCGCACTACATTTACATAATTTTCTTATTGGTCACAAAAGATAAAGCGAGCCAATAGCAAATCACATACGATGAAAAAAAATCAAACACGTAACATTAAAAAGCAAATCATGGAACACAAACAAGGGGGTGGGGGGGGATCTTAAATTACTTTGGACTGATTGGGTAGGGCTAGGATCATTCAAGCCCACCCGTGGCTACGCCCCTGCCCCGAAGTCGCTGACTCAGGTGCGTGCTTAGCGGTGGTTCAGATAATTCGGTTTCGGTTCGCTAAGTGGCGCCGCGGTGTTTTTAATTTCAGAAACAGCTGCGCAACGAGGCTGAGAAAATACCGGTAAATGGGATATTGGGTTTGTGGTGAAGGAGCTCTGCACTTACACTCTCTCAGAACCGACTTCTTATACAATGACACAAACAGATCCCTACCCCAAACCAAAGGGTTTGTAAAATTGTGATTACCAGTTGGTTAAAATTGACAGCGGAATTCGCTGTGTTCCCATGACAATTGTTTATAATCAATTGGCTACCAATCTTAATATGACAAAAAAATACGTCAAATGCAGATATACCAAGTTTAGTGTTAAAACACGTTGGGAAAAAAACATTTTTGGAACTGAGGATAAAATCATCTTTATACAGCGCCTTTAAAAGTAGCTTTATAGTGACAAAGGAGACAAAATTATCACAAATAAAAACAAAGGATTGGAATGTAGTAGATACAAGGAACAGGCAGACACCAATAAAATAAACTATTTCTGAAGGCTGAAAAAAACTTTTATGATCTTATGTTCAAAACCATACACTTCAAACAGTTTCACAGGAAAAGCGTTTTTTTTTTTCAGATACAAATATGATACAAAAAAAACTAAGCAATCACCGCGTCTCATTCGTTTAATTTTGTAGACGCTGCTTAAGATAAAGCAGTTACACGTTCGATTGACTTTCATGTGCAGATTTGTATCCTGAAGAAATGCAGACAGATTCTGTTGTCCATTTGCAAACTCATAATGTTTTTAATGATCCTAGGTTGATCGTTACGAATAGTGTGCACCTTTATTAAAGTTGAATTCTGGCTCAATGAAGTACTGCTTTTGTGAAACAGAGGCTATCCATCTTTAGCTTGCTGCTTTTAAATTGATAAGGAATTGCATGGGTTTAACGGATTGTTGTACCCTTCCTATACATATATAAACGCAAAGTAAGGTACGCTTTTAAGTATCATTGTAGGAAGGTGCACTTTTTATTTAAAAAAAACAATGTAAAATCGCAATGTCTCGCATACCGCAGTCGTCTTTGCTTTAATTTTTAAGTTCAAGGAGCATTGCATGGTTCTGCAACTGACGCCATTACAGCTCTGGCGCTGGAGTGTCACGAAGTCTTGCTAAGGCGCCGTGTGAGCCACAATGGCGAAACAACGGTCGCAGTTTCCTAGCCGGCACCAGCTTCTGTGAACCGGTGTTAACAGCCCCAGCGCCTCCCATACTCCCCGCCCGCGCGACGCGACTCGACTCGAGTCTCTCTTCCAGCCCTCCTCGCGCGCCGCCCGCAGCCGGTTGGTGTTGCGTAGCTGCGCGTCGGAGGAAAGGCAAAGTCAAGGCTGCAGTGACGACAGCAGTAATTATTAAAAAAAAAGACCAAAAATCACACAAGTGCATTTACATCCTTCCACAATTACAAGAACGTATGCGCTTTTGCGGTAGTAGAGCCGGACCGCCTCTCCTGCCCGCAGAGAAGAGGTGTCAGTTCCGAAGGCAGTAATCTGAGCCTCAGCAGAGACAGACCTGGCGCTACTCTTCACTGTAGTACAGTAGTAAGATCCAACTAGCGTACAATGTCGGACTCCGCGGGCGACGGGAAGTTGGAGATGAAGCAGGCCAGCAAAGAAGTGAAAGAGAGCGAGAATGTGGCGGAGAAATACTCGGCGATGACCGTGGGCAAGACCAGCGACATGGGCGACCTGTCCTCCGCCTTCAGCGCCGTCACCTCGCACAAACCTGTCAAAAAGGTGAGACCCGTCTGTGCTCCGTGTTCCCCCCGGGAGTGGGGGCTGGATTAAAAACGGGGTTCACGCATGTAGCTGCAGCTGTAGTTGCAGCCGGTGACGCCGGAGTTGTGAGCCCGCAGTCCCGGACAAACGCGTGCGGTCTGTCTGTCCTGTGCGACTCGGCTGGATCTCTGTTGCTCTTGTTAATGACATCAAAGACGAGGACCTAACTCGACATGTTTTATTTATTTTGTAGTGTTACAACAGCCACAGTAGAAGGCACCGTTCTGCCAGTAATAAGGATAAGCACTTTTGTGTGAGCCAGAGTACATGCGTCGTGTAGTATCATGATAACAGGTAAAGCGCATTGATTAGTTGAGATCGCGAAGTCAGCCCGCAGTGTCATTTCTATCGATTGCTGTAGTTCACCCGGCGGTGGGTTTCGCGATTAGTCGTTTCTTTAGCCTTGCCTGCTTAGTACCCAGTGAAAGGGAAACATGTTCTTTATTTACGTACTTAAATTGGTTGCCTGTAGATGACAGATGAATTTGACAGGAAATAATTCGCGGGCCTCTTCCTATATATGGCGTATAACCGCTAGAGACATTGACATTACTGTTTTGAAACGTGTTGGCCGGGCTGTGCCGAGAAAGGAGTTCGTTGGCTGAATTAGTTCTTTAAGAATCTCAGTAGGGATCATACCTAATTGTGTGGCATTACCAGCTGACATTTCAGAATTTAAGAGGTTCACACGTTCTTAATACCCCCCCCCCCCCCAAAAAAAAAAAAAACGCAGCGAAAAACACTCAGTAAGATGTAATTATACAAAGTGTAGTGTATAGTTTTTGGTCTTCTATTCTGCTGGTAGGCAGCTTTCTTTGAAGGTGGTACTATGACATGCCTCTGTAACACTCTCGGGTGTGTAATTAAACTCAGTTAAAGTGCTTGTAATCAGACAGGCCAAATTAGGGCTTGCCACAGATGCACACTTCATGCCCACGTTTTCAGTGTGAACCTGTTTCCGTCAAGAACAATTACACAGGGTGGTTATTATAGCCCCAGGCCTGTTCACACGCATCTGCATCTATTTCAGAATTGATTCTTTGTAATGCCACTGACATGGATCTCCTGCCGAGCACCTGCGGTATGTGAAATACATGAGGCAGTGTTGTCGTCCGGACTGGTCTGAGGATCTCTGGATGGGAATTGCCCAGTGCTGTGGATGGTTGGAAGGGCGTCAGTTCTCTCGCCAGCGCTGTGTGTGGCCTGTGAGCCGCAGTGCCACGATCTGCAGGAGCCCCGGTGGTTTCTGTGCGTGCCCTGTCTGCAACGGGGCCAGGCCTGCTTTAGTCACTGGTTCCTTGTATCATTGTTTGGAAGAACAATGATGTAACGTCATGGCAGGCGAAACCACAAATTGAATAGCTTACTTTTTGTGAATAAAGTTCTTTAATTACTGTTTTTGATCATTGGATTTGGTCAACGTAATAAAAGAGTCTTGTGGCGGGTGTGTTGCGTGTCTCAACAGAGACCGGCGCGGTCTGGGTGGCATGAAGGCAGGCTGCGATTTTCTGCCCTGTCACAGGGCATTGAAACGAGCCCTCCTGTGGGCCGTGTGCTGGGCTGTGCCCTGCAGAGCCCTGCGGAAGTCTGCTGCCGTCACGCTGTCCGGAGTGTTGAGTTTGTTGGGTGAAGAGGGTGAGGTCTGTGGCGCTGCTTGTGTGTTCGTGTGTGTGTGGTTCCAAAGGTCAAGGGTATGTGCTGAACGCTCACGGTGTTTCCTTTGGATTTAAACGGCCCGCAGGGAGTTTGACTGCTCCTCCAGCGAGTTGAGAGTGTCAGAATCATTGTGCATTCTAGCTGTGACTGGATGTGACTTTTAAATGTTTCGGCACGTCTTTCTTGAGGAGTGGGGAGATTGCTAGCTGTGGCTTCGCTCTTCATTGATCCGCCTGTAGGCCTCGTGTTTGTACAGTGTTGAACGCAGGAGCTGGTGTGCAGTTTCACTGGTAGCTGAGACAGAAAGTCCAAGAGGACAGAGTTAATGAGCTTCCCCCATCGCTTTGTCTAAATAAACAAGCACCCGGGAGAGCCCGGCGAGGAAGTGACATGGTGACGTGGTGGTTAGCCCCAGCAGATCCACAGACCCCTGAGCTGGCTTACAGAGTGGAGACCCTTCTATTTGGAGTTTGCATGTTGCACTTATGCATGTCGCATAAGTGGCTTGCATGGGTTTTCACCTGTTTCCTCCCACTTTACAAAAGCATGCTATCCAGCTTAATTATGGTCTCTAAGGTGTGTGTGTATGTGCGGTGTGTGCGTGCATGCCCACTGGTGGATCTGCATCCAGTCCAGGGTTGTGCCTTGTTGTGCCAGGGACAGACTCCAGTTTGCCCCCATCCTTAACGTGAATAAGCGACTTGCTCATTCTGGCTAGAGGGAGGTGTGTGAGCTCAGGTGTGTTACTGCAGCCTCACCCAGAGTGGTGCCTGGGCTTATCCAAGCAGCGAGTGCTTTGTGGACACGGCCTTGTGTGGTTCCATTGTCTAGCCTCAGCTTTGTTCCCCCGTCTCATCCGCTGGGAAACCATCCACCTCTGCGCTGGGTGCTCCCGCACAAAGAGCGGCATTGTGCCGTCTCTCCTCTGGCTCGCATGCCCAGCTCGCTGTCTCAAAGCGGAGCCAGTGTGTTGCAATTCTCCTAACTCCACTGTCCGTGGGCTGGGTGGCGAGGGCAGGTGAGAGGTCCCCACGATCAGGCTTGCCAAGTCGTTTGGTCCAGGAGACCCTCTTACAGCCTTTACTTGTCAAAGGCGTGCTGAGAAGAGTTGTGTTCCTTTTACTGCTCTGATCACAATGGCACAGGCTCTGGTACTGGTCTGTGGGTGACCACATGTGTGCTGCTCTGTATGTCTGTGTGTGATTCAGCATGTGTGCAGCTCTCTGTGTGTCTGCGTGTGTGCAGCTCTGTGTGTGTGTCTGCATGTGTGCAGCTCTCTGTGTGTGTGTCTTTATGTGTGTGTCTGTTTCCAATCCCACGGCTGGCAGAGGAATTCTACTCCGTTGGGCCCCTGAGCAAGGCCCTTAACCCCACCTGCTCCAGGTGCGCCATATAAATGGCTGACCCTGCACTCTGACCCCAGGCTTCTAACTGTCTGTGTACCTGTGTGTTTGATGGATAGCAAGCAAAAAGACAAATTCCTAATGCAAGAAATTGTATTTGGCTATCTGATCTTATGTGTGCTGCTTTCTGTGTGTCTGTGTGTATCTGCATGTGTGCTGGTTTCTGTGGGTCTGTGTGTGTGTCATCAATCTCAAGGACACAGGGAATGACGCAGGACTCCACTTACAGCTGTAGTTCTCAGGGACATTGTAAAGTCAGGAGTTCACAACTGTGGGCTCCTCGGAGACTTTCAGGTGCAACTTCCCAAAACACGGTGATAAGTTTCATGCCACACACCTCTAGTTTGTTGAGCCGCACCTCTGTTTAGAATATTTTAAGCTAATTTAATTTTGCATCTACGTTTCTTAAGCTCTTTTTTCAAGAAGCTCACTGCTGCCATTAGGAATTAACACATTCAATATGGAATGTGAGAACGATTGTGGATGTGTTTTCCCTAAACTGACTCGGGTCTTGGCAGCTGGAGCTCCTCGGTGCAGGCAGTCCCAGGCCTGGCACACAGCAGAAGAGAGACACAAAAATTCTGCAATCATTCCTAGGTCCAACCCCTACAGAGCGGGGAAGAGCGCCATTTTTTTGTTTCGTCTGTTTTTAACCTGCTTCTGCTCTGAATCCATACTCGTTTTGCTCAAAGTAGCTCTGGCACCAGCCAGGCAAAGCTGCATTTTGCAGTTAAGAAAGAAAGCGAAAATCTGAGCCTTTTTGATGGTTTTTGAGAGACGGACAAGTGTCTTGTTACAGCAAGCTTGAAAGAGACAGTGTAGAGTGTTGGATGTCAGCAGCTGCAGAGTAGCACATAATTGAATATTCATGCCTCTGGTGCCTTACCGGGGACAGATTAATTACCCCATTTACCAGTGTTACTAAATTAGGAAATTTATATCATGTAGAGAGTTTTTTATTTTAAAATATGGATTTCACTGATCAAAGTGGATGTGTTTTTTGTGAACGGTTCTCTTGTCATTAGGAAATGGACATGTTGATGTGCAGCTCATTTCCTCCTGCCTCCTGAATAGGAAGGGGGTCTCTCTCTCGCTCTCTGGCCTGAGCTGGGGAAGGGGGTCTCTGTCTC